TTATTATTATTATTATTATTATTATTATTATTATTATTATTATTATTATTATTATTATACTTTTAATTAAATATACTTTATATACTATATATTATACCCCTAGTCTTTATTTATTTAAGATACCTTCTATACTACTATCTTCTTCTAAGGTATACTCTTATCTCTATAATTAAGAAGTTCTTATCTCTATTATTTATAATATCTACCTCTAGATATTTAGAATAGCTATCTTTAAAGAGTACTATATCTTTTATTATTATCTATATAGCTCTTATTATAAGAATACTATATTATAGCTTACTATCTATTTCTAAAGTACTGATTTCTACTACAAGTTTCCCAAACTGTGTTCCATTTTTCATATCCTCGAATAGTGTATTGATGCCGTCTAGATTATCCAGACCTTGAACAGTGCGCGACACGATTGGATGTAGCTTCTTCTTATTCACGAATGCTACCATATCGCCGAACTCCTTGCGCGACCCCATCGTTGAACCACGAAGCTCGATATTTCTCATTACCGCACCCATCACCCATGGCATCTTCGGACCAGTGGTCATGCCATACATGGAGATGATACCACCTGGCTACACTGAAATTAGCTCACTAACATAATAACCAACCATGTAGGTACGTACCTTCAATAGACGCATGCCCTTCTCGACTATATTGCCACCAGCACCATCAATGATTGCGTCTAGGTATTTCCGGGGTTGAGGCAGCTGCGCAACGAGCTTCTTCTCCCAGCCATCTTCACGATAATTCACACCCCCTTGAGCACCAATATCTTTGGCCTTGGTCAACTTTGCTTCGTCGCCACTACTGACATAAACGTTGCAACCAGCGGCGCTCGCGAACATGAGTACCATCAATGCTACACCTCCACCGATACCTGTCACCAGGATATTACGCCCAGCCTCTGCGTTTCCACTTTTGGACGCAAAGGCCCTCCATGCAGTTAAACCTGCAAGAGGAAGTGCAGCAGCCTCAACATCACTCAGGTGACTAGGTACTTCTTCCAACTCACTAGCATCGATGGTGATGCATTCCGCGAGAGTACCTTTATTGTTTAGTTTCGTGCCTCCTAAAATAGCATAACCCTTTTGACTTTCCGGTCCGTCTGGGTCATCCTTCCACCCCGTCCCAGGATTGATAATCACACGCTTGTGAAGCCAACCCTGTGCTTCAGGGGAAGGACCGGCTTTGACGACCACGCCGCACCCATCGGCAAGAAGCGGTGTGCCAAAGCTGATGGCAGGGTAGAGATGCTGCCTGATGAAGAGGTCGCGATGATTCAGAGCTGCAGCAGTGAGTTGCACGACAACTTCGCTGTCTGAAGGGTTTGGTTCTGGCAGAGCGACCTTCTCGAGTGGGTAGTAAACCTCGCCTGGCTTGCCTTCGACCCGGCGGATAGATAGAGCGGTAGGCATGGTAACGTACTTTGCAGTGAGGATAGGGATAATCAGATGTGCACTACTTCCAGGAGCACGTTCACTAGATTTAGAATGGATGTGAATCGCGGAACGAATCAGATACGAAGTAGATAGTTGTGATCTGTCGACGACGATGTTGCATTCATATACCTACATTGTAAATTCCTCAGAATGGTCAAAGAAGAAGAGTATGTATGCTACGGCCTGGGTACCCCGCGCCGCGTTTACCGAGGTCGCGGACCGCTGCTCTGAGCTGTCGCGTCTGGACGAAAACCCAATTGGCGTGCGTACCACAACTGTGCATTCCGTTGTTTCTCTTCACATTTTGGGTTGGAACTGTGCCCAACTGTGAAACGAGTTCTTTGATGTATAGTACATAGTATATGATCCCCTGCTGGCGAGAGCTGCGTATGGTTTACGACGGAAAGAGTGCGATCCGCAGCCACAAATCGAAGCCGGGACAGCCGCCAGCCTACTACTACTGCGTTGTAACCGCTTCGCAAGCATATGTATGCTTTTTCAACGTTTTGTAGTGTGTATAGGGGCGGTCAGTAGAGAGAGAAGACTCGTATCCATCCCCCTGCATGGTACACATAATAAAATAAAATCACCGATCATATGCATATGACAACTTCGCACTTTGTTTCCGTGGGGTTTGAATATGGTCTAGGAGCAGGGGTATGCATGCGCTTCCAGCGGCTAGGAAAGACACTGCTATGCAGACCATAAGTCACAATGACATGGTCGCCACGCGAGTTCCCTGCACCTATACCCGCCACTGGCAATCTAGCCACCGGATGGTGTCACGATGTGTGTGCGAATGGGCGTGCATATGCAAGGCCTGATTTGAAATGAGTAAATCTTCCGTGCCTGTCTTTTCCCAGTGGCGTTCTGGGTGGACCCAATAAAGGCAGCAGAATCTGCACATCATCTCAATGTCTTACATAGTTCCATGCACCGGTTGTGGTCTCAGACCAATAATGCCTGTCGCCTCGTCGCAATAACGGTACTATATAGATAGGTACATCAGACATACATGCACAGGCAGCGCTATGGAACGGCCCGTTTCTTACTAGCCAACCACAAGATCTGCGGATCAAGTTCTCACTTCCGAAAATAGCGCTATTGTAGCGATCGGTCCGAATAGATACAAGCATGCGCTGCGATTCCATGTCCCAGAAAGTCATGACACAGGCCACTCTGGCAGACGGCAGATCACTTGGGCGAGAACCTTATTGGACAATATCAACGTCTTGAATGTGAACGGCAGGTTTTTGGCAGGCTATCCGTACATATGCTTGACACGTACGAGTCATCGTGTCGATAACGCCAATGTGATTACTTTCTTGCTACCTCATTATTTTCGACCGCTACCCATGGCCATAATCTTTCGAAAGGGTTGGATATCATAATATTACAGATGAGAATAACGTTGCAGATGGCATCAATGCATCCCAGCGTGTCAGCATGCCTTCAGAACATGAGTGCTTAAAAATGCATGACCGCTAAGGCCATTAAGTCTTTCCCAATTCTCCGTGACCCGGGACCACAGCTACTACTAACCAGGTTGGCACAGTAACTCACGATACGGGCTGGGTCATCAACTGTGATAGAGGACGTGCCATCATCCACTTGGAGCATCGGAGCTCCCTTCTGAAGACCTTCTCCATGGAGCCAGAATTTTTCGTAGGCGCTGGCTTGCGCACTCCCCGGGCGAAGCACATTGAGATATATCGGTTCGTCAGTCATTGCGGTTCTGATAATCGGGTTTTGGGCGCGGCTGGTGTAAATGCTGGCAGCCCATAACACCAAACCCGCTCGATAAACAGCTTCAGATAGCCACAATGGTCGATACTGAGGTTGTATGGTACGCGAGATCCGCAGTACTTGCCCACTGTGATAGTATAGTGCCATAAGCTTTTCTGGAAAAATGCAGAACGTCTGCATAAACTGCTCAACATGTATTTCACCGCTAGCAAGCCGCTTAGCATCCGCAAACCGGGCGATGGTTTTAATTGTAATCAAATGGTACATGATTTCGCTTGCGTGGACAGCATCACAGAGATCCTGTCGGTGGAGTGACTGAAGTAGATTTTGGGCGTGGTCGTACCATTGTGAGAGGAAGCGACGTTGTGCTTGCAATGACGTGAGGTTATCACCTAGTGACTTGGGGCGCGTTTTCAACGGATCGATGGTCTCCAAAAGCGACTGGACCTGCTGATGTAATGGGTAGAGGAGTAATCGAAGATGGAGCGGTGTGAGTCCTTCCTGGCTGAGGCCATTTCGTTTGAATTGTATGTATAAACTGTGCAAGCTGTGAACTGAATGCGGTCTCCCAGAGATATGAGTTGCCCATTCTTCGGGTGTTGTGGCGTTCCAGAACTCGTCTGATAGGGGTAATGCGGCATTTATGTCGTGGATCCCCATACCAGGTGGTTTACCATTGGTGGTCGGGATCTCGTGGAACATGTTGAGCTCTTGGTCTAGGGCGATCCATGAGTACACCAGTCTGTTGTAGTGATCAGCATAGCTCTCCTAGGAGCCTAAAAATAGTATGGAACCTTACCTGTTATTACTTTCGTGCTCTCGCCAGCGACGGTAGGCACTTTCGACGTCTGTGAGACTCTCCGTTGCATAATCGAATTGCCCCTTTCCAAGGCGACCAGTTCTGTGCAAAGACTTTTATATAGTTAGCAGATGGCTCATGCGTATGTGATTGAGGCTTGCTCACGTTCAGGTAAATCTCATGCTGACCTCGTGCGTACTGTACTCATATTAGCATCAAGAAACACATCGGACTTCGGTTGTGATGGAGTGCCTGGTTGTACCTTTCTCTGTTGCTTGTCTGCTCCCCAGGCTGCCAGGCTCAAAAACAAGAACACGGCTCGTAGTCGGGTAAGGTCACATGAATAAGTACTTCTTGTCTCGAACAACGCTGTTCGACAAGCTTCCACTATACCATCTACCAACCCAATAGTATCAACATTAGATGCATTAGAAGCCAGTGCACCGACGGTCATACAAAGCAAGAAGAGACTGGCTGCGTCATTCTCGTCTGCAACGTTTTCGCCGGTGTTGATGATTTCCGAAGGTTGTATGTGATAATACAATTCAAAATTGGCCATATATCCGTCCAGTAGATGAGAAAGCACGTCCAACGGGGGTAGGATCAGACCACTATTGTCGTAGCTGAAGAGACCTTGCAGACGCTTTCTATTTGTTATGGTGTGCGCCATCTTCTGGAGCGTGCAAGTCAACTGAGATCGCATATGATCATCAATTCGTAGGGACACAGGCAGTCGGCAGGATGGTATAGGGACCAGGCCATGTAATGCATGAAGACCTTTCATTGCTGACGCTAGTCTGGAGATAGAGTCCATCGGCTGATACATCTGCGTATCATCAGCGCCCGCGGCTTCTTCACTCGATGACAATGGTGTGGGAAACTGACTGTATACAGTAGAAGGATGTTGCCAATTTTGGTCGAAGAAGTTATGCGGATGGTACAATTCAGGGGTGGATCCCGGTGATGCTGTAGTTCCAGCAAAAGTGGTCCCAAATGACGACGAGGTGGACAGAGGAGTACTTCCGAGGGTATGCGTATCAAAGAGAGGAGTATCAAGTTCTATGTAGGTTCCGCATTGACCCTGATCGAAGCCAGTGAGATCTTGGTACGCTCCATTCATCTGTATATTTTGGTTGTTCCCGTATTCCATAGTATAATCAGGTGGTGGTGAAGTATTGTGACCCTCGTATATCCCGCCTTGTGCTCTCAGGGCTTCATCGTAGACTCCAGGTTGTCCTTGCCCCTCGAGTCTTACGTTCATTGTGACAGGCGTGTGCTGCAAGCCATAGTTATAGTAGGCCGGGAACGCGTCCGATGGAGTGGTGGGAGAGCTTTCCATGGGCCAGGAACCCTGTGAAATCCATGAGGATGCTAAGTCTTGCTGATTTGATGGATAGGGCTCGGGCTCGCGACCGACGTCAAAAGTCCCAACTTGATATCCATATTCCTGTCTCATACCCAATGAGCCTATCTGAGCGTCACTCTGTTGTGAGTATTGTCCAGTCCAGGCCAGTTGTGGTGAATCGTGCATAGGTGTCGAGTTATAGTTGCTCGACGGCGAGGAAGTGGGAAATGGAGTAGAAACGTGGCGAGGAATATGTGAGGTCTCGTGACTGGGACAATCAGCCAACACTCCGTTAAATATATGTGCGGTGTTATTTACAAGCGAGACTTAGTGGCCTCGCAATTATAGCGAGCTTTGGCGGCCTTATCGTTGATTGTAGTTTTCTTCGACCCGTTCCCGCGAACGTTTCTTAGTCGCACCTGACACACGTATCCTTTTGCTTTGCATCTTGAGCATTGTTCCTGGTGAGAGGTGAGCCACCGAATTAGTTAAATCTATGGTAACAATACTGACAGGATCTTTGTTACACCCCGCTTTTGCCGTGGCACATTGTTGACAGGCTATGAGGCCGTTGTCCTTGACGATACGGCCGTTACGAATGCGATCCATGATAAATTCAATATGGTTATATTGGCTCAGGTTGCTATTGACCTATTAGTAGAGTATAAAGAGAAGTTGTATGAATCAACGTACTGTCCACTGTAAGCAGCGTGTCAAATAAAGCACGCAAGATGCTTCTCGCCTTTGGCTAGGTACTGGGTCAAGTCAAAGGGGCACGAATTGGAGGCACAGATTGTATATGAACAGCTTTTCCCGTGAGGAGACGATGAACTAGCGTCCCTGGGAGGGGATCCGTGTCGTTGAGCCGTATATATATCCTGAATAACATACTAGGCGTCTGGCGCGGTATACGCTGGCTGGCAGTGGTCCAGCACGCAGGCCTGGTGCAGCTTCTATCAGGGTTCGTGGAGATACTGCAGGGAATGTCGCACGATCTCACGGGGCTGGAGAATTTGTACATCCGCAAGCTCATCCTGCTGCAAACCATTATGCAATGATGCTTCTACTCAGACTTATGCATGGCTGGTATGACCTAGCTCTCACCAATCAGCTAAAGGGCAGGGGAGGAGCATCTTGACAGCGGGTGGGCCGTTGGTGAGCTGCATTGAAGATCGTGCGAGTTCCAGCATGTCGGTCTCATTCCCCCGGCCAGCTTTCTTTTTACGCCTAAACAGGGAACTTAATCAGAATGACTCCGCCCAGCCGTCACAAAGCTCGCTACTTAGCAGCTGAACCGTTACATGGGTATAGAGGCTAGTCCTCCAAGCCACGATCGACCAGGTGGCGGAAATGCAAGTCAGATCTGTGGGCCCGCCATGTCGAGAAGAAGCAAGAGACCTGACCTAACATTGACGTGTATTCGTTGGCGAACGAATAGACGAGATGAGAACAGGGATAGGGATAATGTAACAAGGTGTGATATTAGATCTGTGCCTGCGTCAGAATGATAGGTCTGACGAGGCCAACAACGCTGCTGGCAAGTTCATACGACTCACTGGAGGTTGATGATATAGGTGAACAAGAACCAGCTCTCTACGACCTGCTTCCGCGGCGACAAGACTAGAAACGCTTGAGACGATAGTGTGTGATACGGAAATTTTCTTGCAGTATGAGGTAGCGTGAAATATATGGGTGCACCTCGTTCGTACCTATGCCACATGAGATTGAAAAGGAAGGAAAGAGAGACGTCTCGACTAGGGAGAGGTGCTCCTATGACTGTATCGGATAGTCTTGTAGTAAACTACGAAACCATCTCTTGCAGTTCGATCTATACGGCAACGATGCTGACAGCAAGATTGATAGGCGAAGACACTGAAGAGTTTGAGTTATTGGGACATCAGCAACCCCATCAGCCACCAGATGCATCGAAGCAGTGAGAGCATAGTACTCCTCCACATTCTGAGCCAAGCGGCTGGTGCCAGACACCTCAGCACACACAGGTAGCAGACAAGGCCAAGCCGGGGGAGTAGGTCGATGGTATAGTGTTGATAGATAGCCGCAGCAAGCAAGGCAAGCTAGGCTCCTTTAGTGGCTGGGTGCAGACTCTCATTCCAGAATCAGCATAAGGCTGCATGTGTGAGTGATAGACAGGTCGATCTTCCTGGGTACATTGGTGGCAGATAAAACTGCAGGTGAAATGACAAATGCTGGCCTGCAGAGATCGGACCTGGATTGAGCTTTGGCGATCCTGCTTGCTTGCACAGGAAAAGATTCCCTGCAAGCAAGAACACGGATGACGACGATGGACAAGATGGTAGAAACGACGAAAGCTCCCAAACGCAAAAGTGAAACATAGGGCGATGATGTCTACTTGGTACTACTAACAAACCGTGCCGCTGACTGACTGTTGACGTCCAAACCTACCTAGATACTACCGAGCGTTCACCGATGCCGGGACGACCTCGGGTGATCTTAGACCGAGGCTGGGCATCCAAAAGGTACACGCAGAGGGCAGATGCATGGCAGATGCATGAAGCCCATATTAGGTACCATACTACGCACGGGTGTACCTTTTAGTAGAGTACCTATCCTATGCCTATGGTAATTACAGTATGTTGGTAGGTAGCAGAGGCAGAGGTAGATGTGTAGGTCCACTGCCCCAGATAGATGGGCAGACGAGATGTCAAAGTCTTGGCACAAGGGGTGGCGTGATCATCTATACCCGCGGACCCTCCTGTCGACAAGTGATGTCAGGATATTCGAATCCACCTGAGATGTTACAAGTGGTTGGCAGATGAGGTGCAGGTGAAGATGCAGCCCCGTATTCAGTTAGGTATCTCGTACCTCTCGTGTGGTGGTGGGCGGGTCGAAGAAGAAGCCCAAAGCTTTTTTGTCCTTGTCCTTTTGTCGCCGCCGCCGCCTCCAGCTCATCCGGTCTCCCCGAAAATCCTTCACTCGTTGCTCACCTCGCCTCATCTGTGTCCACGGGAGCTGCTCCAGCTTCCCGCACGCTAGCATAACTCACTAAACCCACCCTACTACCATCGCGATTTTTGGATAAATCAATTACCACACCAACCACACCGACTGGCACGCCCTCGCTCTTGCATCTGAAAGCAGAATGCGATGGACCACACACCCGGCGTACTGCTCGAACCGGTATCTGTAGACTCCAAGATCGAAAATCGATGCCTCGTCATTCTGAATCAGCCCCTCCAGCAGCGCGATACCTTTGAAGCGATCTGGACACACGCATCAACCTGGATTTGCGCTGACGGTGGGGCAAATCGCCTGCACGATCTATTCGAAGGCGCATGTCAGGGGCGTCGCTCCGACTTTGTACGTCAAAATGGACCCGTTCTCCGTAGCGCGTGCATTAATCGAATGCATAGTTACCCACTGCCATTGTAGGGGATCTGGATTCTCTTCGACAGGATGTTCGACAGTTCTACGCAACGAAAGGCGTGCAGATCCATGAAGACGCAGATCAGTACAGCACAGACTTGGCCAAGTGTATGAGATTTGCCCTTTCGTCGCCATGGCAAAGTCCTACAGAAGAGGTCATCCTACTGGGCTCACTATCTGGAAGACTGGATCATGCAATAGGATTGTTGCATGAGATGATGCGAGAAGCCATGCGAACCCCGGAGCTTCGTATATGGCTATTCTCGGACATTAGCATATCCTTTATCCTGAAAGCTGGAGTTAACAGGATTCTGCTGCCGCAAAACCATATCTGTTTCACTCCAAACGTGGGTATTCTCCCATTATATGGTCCAGCTAAGATCTCCACGCGGGGCCTGGAATGGAATGTCACTGGATGGGAGACTTCCATGGGCGGTCAAGTTAGCACGAGCAATCATGTTGTTGAAGACTCAATTACTGTTGATAGTGACGCCTGCGTGCTTTTCACCATAGAACGACGCGATGGAATGATGCGTTGATGATGCATCGACTGCCTGATGAGACCTTCAGAGCAAGCAGCGAAACTGTTGTTACTGCAAGTCATTTCGCTGGACGATGGTCATATCACCGGGTTTACTTACATATTGGAGTATATATGGCAATGCTAATGTGTTTGAGGTAAAGAAATTTGGCGCTACGCCTGGGTATATCAAGCACCCGCCGCGTTCTCGACCTTTGATGAAACTTGTGACGAAACTTGTGACGTTGGGCCAGAGGTGGAACTAATCACGTGAGATAGTCAACTCCTTCCCGCACTTTGTTGGGCTTGACAATGATCTGATCCATCAGGCAAATTGGCTTAGTGGGTACGGCATTTGCCTAAGTTTTATTTTGTTTCGTTTGTTCATACGACCCCTGCCTGAACTGGAACAAGGCATGAATCAGATTGCTGGGAAGACGAAAACGAGAACAGATGCAGCGATAAAATCACCAAGATCCACCTCAAAACGTTGATACGTCATAATCTATGCTCACACTGGCCCAGACGAACAGACTACAGTTGATTCATTGACTTAGTACAGTATGGGCGATGGTGATGTTGGGACTGGCTTGATGGGTCTTGATGTATTCTATGTACGTACCTTCCAGTTGGAGTATTTTGAGTGTGTCTTAGGTAGTAAATTTCCATCCTTGACGCCGGGTAGAACCACACTATAGCGCAACACACGCCGCCCGCGACACCCGCAGTATTGTTTTTACTACGTACATAGTGGGCCCCGCAGGATATCAAGAAGATGTCAGGAGATGGACGCGTGCATCTATGTCTGGTGAGCAAGAATGCTTGCCACACCGCCTATTAGCATTAGACCCTCGTAAGGCTTCCCTAGGAGCAGGTAGCGAGCTTTTTTGATGACTAAAGATTAGGACCGTCACGGTGCATATATGAATGTGCGCTAGGTCGGAGAGAGTGAGTAAGAAGATACAGAGCTCGAGCTGGAGCTCAAACGAGACGAATATCAATCATTCGATAATGAATGATGTGTTATTAGTCGACGTGTATAATAGAGGTATAGGAGTGTATAAGCTAAAGACGTAGAGAGAGATGGAAAGGATTTGATGGAAAGAAGCGAGAGGGACATTATGATAATTAATAGATAATAACAGTTGACCTGATGAAGTGTTAACTTATCTTGGGTATCAGGACTGAACAGTGATTCCTAGTGTGGACGATTGTGAGGGTCCACTCTAGCCGCCCATTACGGGCGATATATTGATTTTTTGCCCATTGGGGATGGTTCTACCTGGGAATAGGTAGCTAGCTGAAAAGTCGACCGACGTAATCTATCTATATTGAAGACTATATATCGTATTCATACAATCTATCACAGAGCGATCGAAGTTTCTTGCGCTCTCACTCCAGTCTGCCGTTTATGCTGCCCGCTCTTCCGCCCGATTCGTTAGTCTCTCCACGCTCTCGTCCGACTTTAGGCTCAATTTTTTTAGTCAGAGGCCTTCTGCTCAAACAGACCATAGACGACCCTAGAAGCCGTGCTGTTGCGAAGGAGAGAACGAGCTATACGATGTATTGAAGTAGCGTCCTATATATATCATTGCGATGGTGAGGTGAGCGCTGCGGTGGCGTGGGTGGTCGCACTGGGCTCCCGATTTCCGATTTCCGTTTTCTTGCCGCGATACCGTTGACATTGTTACGGCGCTACAGGATGCGCCTTTCCAGGAATGGAGGTCGATAAGAAGAAGTCGAGGTCCGTGCGGAGAACATCAAAACTCCAAATTGCTTATATCATCTAATATCTGCTGATTACACCAATCGTAATGGCTTGCTTGTATCACTTTTCAAGTCTTCATGATATGGCTTCTATCCTGATATAAGTAATTGGTGTTACTCAGACCGATTTATACCGCTACCTAGGTTCCATGCTCCATCGTACCTTCCCTGGCTAAGACAGACCAGGTATTGCCGATAGCCCGTTAGTCTGAGTTGGGCCTAGTAGCCTATGAGAGTCGACGGCACCGGCATCTCACGCAGGGGAGAAAAGATAGCTACCTAATAATTAATTAATTGTGGTGGCAGTTCTCTTTCATCATCATAGCCTTCTCCACCTCCACCCTCCACCCTCCACTTCTCCTCCCTCCACACCCACCTCGCTCATCCATGATCGTGTCCTGATCAGTGCCGTTCGTTCTGTTCTTTGTTATCTCTCGACTATGCCAGTGTCTTTCGCTCCTACACATGCTTTACAATTCATCAATCTTCCTCATCGGCGTACATATCTCCTACTCCATCCCAACCATCTCAGACCACTGTCGCTACTTTTCCACTCGCCTGCCGCCACCCTCGACGCGTCAGCTGTCCATCGTTGTCCTACCCAGCTGAGATCGCCCCTTCTTACCGTCGACTCCTCGAAACTGCCCGGATACATAACTTCGCCCTTCTCCACTACGTCGACCCATTTTCGCGCAACGCGACCTCAAAGCCGGTCGTAAATTTTTTTCCGTATATTTCAACAATATGTCTCCTCTTCAGCGACCCCCAGCTCCGCGATTGGACAGTGATGCAGACATGCGATCGACTGACAGACTAAATTCTCAATCCGGCCGATCCGCAAGTAGTCTGAACGCTGAAGTAGCCTCATCGCGTCTCAGGAGTGAACTACAGCGGCCCCACCTGTCAGCTTCCACATCTCCAAGCGCAAGTTCGACCAGTCTTGCGCCTCACGATCATCAACATTCCTCTCCCTCATCTTCCGAATCTATACCCCCGATCAATTCGTTCGCATATAATCCATGCCCTACCGAGTCTGGAAATAGTGTACGAAGTAGCAGTGAAAGTCGGAGTAGCGATGATGGCAGTTCTGCCGATTATATAAATATTTCAAAGTCACAAGCCGCCCAGCTCAGTCTTCCACCGTCTCGACGAGGCCACCACGAAAGGCCCTTAAGTCGGAGACCGGGTATAGGTCCGATCCAGGAACAGTCACCCTATCTGAAAGCGACTCCACCGATGAGTGTGAGAGATTTAGGTTCTGACTACACTCGCTATTTCAATCCATTTTCTGATAGCAGAAGAAGCTCCTGGGTCTCGCTCGGGGGAGCATCTACGCCTCTCGCCGCTCGGTCGACTGGCAGCCTGTCTCTTTCTAGTACTCCGCTTGTTACCCCTGGTCTTGGAATTCTCGCTGCGAGTTCTACCTCGAAGCTTGTATCCACGGATTTCTACAATGAGAAGTCGTTCTCGCCGTGGATGGATGATCGTCTTGCTGCGCCCTTTAGTGATAACGGCGGTTACAAGTTTCCTTTGTTCAATGACGAAAAGGAAGACGACGATGACATGCACATGCCCATGGCCGATGACGATATTAGACTAAAGCCGAGCTGGCGCGACCATCTCAGCCGCGAGAACATCGCATCAACCGTAGGCTTAGCTATGATGCTGACGGGTCTCTTGTTCGTCTTTGTTGCCATGCCTGCTTTAAGTTACAGGGGAATATGGTCATGGGGTAGTACTTATCGCGGCGAGGAGTATCCAAAACCCGAACCCTGGGCGATAGTTAACAACAAAACCTACCCTATATTAAGCAATGTGCGCCGCACACTCATCGATCCGGATACCCCAGAAGATGCCAAAACCCGCACAGATATTAACGGAGACGAGCTTATCCTTGTGTTCAGTGATGAGTTCAACGAACCGAATCGTACCTTCTATCCTGGAGATGATCCTTATTTCTTCGCACCAGATTTCTGGTACGGAGCAACAATGGATCTGGAATGGTACGATCCGGACGCGGCGACCACGTGGGATGGTACACTCGAGCTGCAGATGGACCAGTTTCCGAATCACGGCCTTAATTTGCGTTCTGGAATGCTTAACACATGGAATCAGCTCTGCTTTAAGGGTGGTGTTTTTGAAGTCTCCATTTCACTTCCAGGCCCGGGCGGAGTCATGGGATATTGGCCAGGTGCGTGGGCCATGGGTAACCTTGGGCGACCTGGGTATATGGCCACGACTGACGGTCTGTGGCCCTATACATACAACGATTGTGACGCGGGTATCACCCCAAATCAGTCTATGGCCGATGGAACCTCGCGCCTTCCTGGCCAGCGCTTGAACTCATGTACATGCAAAGGAGAAGACCATCCTACGCCTGGGACTGGTCGAGGTGCTCCCGAAATCGACATTTTAGAGGGTAGCACCAATGGCCGAGGCCTTGGGGTCGTGACTCAGTCCTTTCAGGTAGCACCTTTCGATATTTTCTACTACGCCGACTACGATTACCTTGAATACCCTGATTACAGCCTTAGTTTCCCAAACACATGGACTGGGGGTCCATTCCAGCAAGCCGTATCCGCCACAAGTAATTTGAACAACAACTGGTATGATGGGAAACAGTACCAGAAGTATGCCTTCGAATACGTACCAGGATCAGGAGAGTCTTCGTATATAGCTTGGTATATCGGGGATGACGTCACCTTCAAGATGAATGCTGATGCGGTACGTCCAAACGGAAACTCCGGGCAGCGCATCGTTGCTGAAGAGCCAATGTCTTTGGTCCTTAACTTCGGTATGAGTACTAACTGGGCCTTCATTGACTGGGAGCATCTTGTGTTCCCCGCAGTCATGCGTGTTGATTATGTCCGGTGGTACCAACCAAAGGGGAGCCAAAGTGTGACTTGCGATCCGCCTGGGTTTGAGACCACAGAGTACATTGCGAATCACCCAGAGGCCTACAACAATATCAACAAGACGGTAAGTCTATATTATCTTTGCATGACCTTCGTATTAATGTTTATACAGCTTTGGAGTCAGACTAGCTACAAATGGCCGAAGAACACACTTATGGATGGTTGCGAAACGTAGATCGTGGTAGGCTAGTTGCATCCAACCCCGGTCTACAACTTCTTACCAGTGGTATTATACTACGTTCACTCCTGGCGATCCAGATGGATGTTATCGATAGGACAGAAGCACTACATTATCGACCTTGCTTTGGGTTCACCTGAACTAACATGGTGGTACACATACATACCGCGTCTCCTGAACCAAATTTTTTTATGGCGCATACGACTTGATCTTATAGACACCAAAATAATTGATGGGAAACCTAGAGGGAAAGGTATTCCGGTTAGACGCTATCGGAATGGTTTAGACTTGGACTGTGACGGAAGCGCGGCACGTGCGATTACGTTCAATCTCGTCATTATTAGCATAAAACCGCATTGGATGCTAAGGTTTTGCGCTTAGGTTCGTTGTTCTCAAAATGAGCATCATACGGGTATTTAGCGCCTCAAGTAGATTGCAATGATGCGTGTGGGAGGTTAATGATGTGGCTGGCTATTTTGGATACGCCCGTTTGACGAAGTTCACAGCTTGGCAACATATTGGCCGTACATTCGAAGCAGGATATAATTATCCAAGTCATAGACATAGTCTCAAATCCCACCATTAGTAGGTGGTGATTCGGCAGGCGTAATGATAATGGCTCTCTGCTATATGGCCTGCACTCATGCTCCAGCCCAATCAAAAGCCAAGCTTCCTGGTAAAGTGTTGAAGTCGAAATTGGCTGAAGGTGTACATGCTGGACCTCTTATGGCTTTATTAAATATCATGCTTTGTACCCAGAGACCACGGGCCTAACCCGCTACATCTCAGGCAACTAGATCGTCAGGTCGACTTTTGAAGCCATAACATGTCACACTCGGTAAGCTCGTGCTTGCGAGAAGTCGTCAATGAGCCATGTACGCATGCATGAGCGGGTAATCCTCACGTAGATTCAAGCGAGACCTTCCTACGAAGATGACTTCGAAGATGACTTTCAATATGTAGGCATCATAGCCATGGTATTGTTCCAGTCTACGCTGTCCAGCCATGCCAGAAAAGAGACATCCGGGCCCAGAGGTTGCGATTCATGTTGCCTGAGCACATTATTCCCAAGAGCGGTCGTTCCTTCTATGTCGCCAAATGCTACCGAGTGTGCCTGCGATGAGACAGGACATAGAGCAGCATTAATGACTTCATCTATCTCGTCACCGAGTTTTTCACTGGCTGCGGTGCAAAGGTCTGTGTAGCGGTATTCCGGGCTGTTGAACCAGCCCAGTGTTGAAACGAAAACGTACAGATTCCGAATGACCTCGGTACGGGAGATGAAGGAGGGTAGTGGGGTTCCCTCCTGTGTGTGCGCTCGTAGTTCTGCACAAAGGACGCCGGCGGCTGGGAGGCCAAAGTATAATAGCTAGATCAGTTAGTTCTAAGTTTATGACAAGGCATGAATGCAGTGCTACGTACAAACCATGGCAGGTCCCGGAGTATTTCTACCTCCAAGTCGTCTCCTAGACAGCCATGCTTTGCAAAAGCCAAGACCTCATTGAGCAAATCACGAGAACTACGTAGTAAGGAGGGAGATGAGTTTCCAGTTCTGCACTGCAGTCTTTCGGTGGCGAATACGCAGTGGCGATAGTCGATGGACGTGGAATAGGAGTATACGACGCTTCTCGGAGATGAGCTATCGTGCTCTTTAAGCTTCTTTGGCAATGACTCCCATGTAGAGCGTAAATCATCGGCTATGGTTCTGTTGATGTTTTAGTGTCTATATCATGAAGAGAAATTTGTACGTGGTAGAGAAGCTCCCAATTAAAAGTGAAAGAGGCGCCAGCAGAGAATATCATGGTGATCACCCACAATGGATGTAATATGCTAAACCTGTTGGGCCTTTGAACTTTACCAGATCTAGTATCACAGAGATAACAGCTTGGCAGCTGTAGGATCATACTACAGCCCAGAAATGATTGAAACATGTATGGGCTCCGAAACAGATAGGGGTATGATGATCACGTCGTTACTCACTTCAGTCTATCGGATAGATCTTCACCAGTCTGTTGGAAAGAAATCTCAAGCAATTCCTCTCTAGACTGACTCAGGATCAACTTTAGTCTCGCCCACGACGTTGATTTGACTCGGTCGTCTGTGCTCCATCCGTTCTCGTCTAGGCTCGCCACGGCCGCTCCCAGGGCTGGTCCCTCGAGGACGATTTCGTCATCACTGAGGTCCAGTGGCGGCGTTGGAGTGCAAAAATGTCGCGGTATTCTTGGTGGTCTGTTAAGAAATGAGCTCAGAGTTTTATCACTCTTGTATGCTGCCGCTATTACACGTTTACGTTGTTCAATCAACCAAAATGGAACAGATGTAAGGTCGTCAGAGATATTGTAAAAGCCGAGAGTGAAAATCTCGGTCGAGACATCACCCATACGTCGCCAAAGAAGTGGGTCTATTAATGTGAGCAACGCCAGATCAGCTCCATGCGAAAGCCTTACCTGCATCGCCATGGAGATTGGCAAGATGTAATGAGTCCATGTAGCTGAACAAAAGACTTAAGTCATTAGGAGTCCCGCACTCCTGGTAGAGTGTTTGGCAATGGTTTCCCGCGGTTGCCATTGTCTCAGAGAATTCCTTAAACGAAGGATTTTTGGGCAACCTGCACTTTTCAAGAGCCACTATGACTGCCTTTTGTGTCAGGAGATAAACTGTCACCCCGGCTAGAGCAAAAATCAGACCTGCTCCAACTTAGTATGGCCATGATGCCGCGGAAGCTTATTGGCAAGTACAAACCTATGGCCTCCCATCGTAATTTGGAACCAGTCCACAACTCGTGGGCCTCCAAAGCAGAAGTCGAGGCAGAAATATGGAGCGGTGTTCGCGTGTTCTCGGATATCAGCAAGGCAATTTCATGTCGACTCCTGCCCCTCCAATTGCCCTCGATGTCCCTGCGAACGGCACTCAAAGTATTAAGAAACAATCTTTTGATAACACAACAAGTGATCGGATAGTTATAGTATCCTACACAGAGACGTTCAATGACATCGATCGACCAGGCTAGGCGGTGGATCACGTCGGCGCCAAGCATGCAGTCTGTAATGCTCAATGGCTTGAGAGAAACTGATTCTGGGGAGCCGTATGCTGAATTACAGGAGCTGGAGAGCTGCATCCGTTGTGAAGTGGCTGGTGAAAGAGCCAAGTACGATCCATAATCAGCCGGGCAAGTTGGTGATGATGGTCTGGGTATGCTAAGACAGTTCCACGCATAAGAGATAGACTTTGGTACGGTTTCAAGAGCAGAACGGTCATTAGACATCAAGTACGATGCGCAATGTGTGAAGGCAGGTACAAGCAAAAAAAGCGATGAGGAGACAGAAGTAGTAAGATTTACTGAGACCTTACGAAAAGACGTTGACAAAGTTTTTCCCAATTTTTTTAGGGGGGGGGGGGGGGGGAGAAGATACACAGGTAGACTGTATAAAACGTACCTTGGTTTAAGCTGTCGCAGGCTTTTGTCTGAAGGTTTTTTTCCTTTAGTGAGGGGTGCAGGATGATAGTAGCACTGTATCATAGTCAAATTCTACTCTTACTCTAAACATCTCCTACCTGGCAGGCTCATTTGACTTAACGGACGCTATCTTTGATTTTACGCCTCTCACACCGCAAACAGATTGGTAGAGTGTTATCACATCTATAGGCATTTGATCAGCCTGCCGAGTGGTTTAAGTCAAGGAAGTTGTACTTCAACTTCGAGCGTCGACATGGCTCGCAAGAACTTGGTTTCCCGTTCCTGCGCAACATGACGCTGCCGGCTGACCGACTTCTGTGGCGGCGGTGAAAGTGCAAGGTTTAGTTGTATACACACCAAGTGACATGAAAAACCAACAGATATAAAAGGTCTAAAGTAACAATGGAGACACGGACTGGGCCTCCAAATCTTGGCTTCAAGGCAATGTATAAGAGATAATGCTCATAGCTTGGACTAATCGGCGCAAATTGGAGACGCCGTGTTACTGTGCATTCATTGGTTAGTGAGTTCCGGCTCTAGTCTCATCGCGATTATGCCGGAGTGGACTTACTCCGAGACCTACTGCGGATTTGTCTATAACTTTTTAAGCGCGACTCTTAGTACGTGTTACGTGCGTAATACACGCTTTTTCCCACCTAGAATCCTATTTCATAAAATCTATATCTTCATTAATAACTCTAGAATCAAGACTATAAAGTTTTTTTTTAATTATTTCTAAATATACTTCTATATAGAAGTCTTACTCTATGTTTTAAAAAAGAGAAGAATAAAAGAGTAAATAAATTAATAATATAGAAAGAATTTATAATAATAGATACTATAGAGAAGAGAAGAAGAAAGTAGTTAAGTTAGATATTATTTTAATTTCCTTTAAATTCTATTAAGATTTAGAGATTACTTAATATATATTTTAAGATATAGATATAATTATATTCGACTTTTTAATATCTTCTATATTCTAAGTTCTAGAGTTATTAAAACATATAAGTTTTAAGAATATAGGGATATATATATGTTATGCACGTAACACGTGCGAAGAGTCGCGCTGAAAAACTTATAGACAGATTCACCGAGGTACAACCGCAAGTGTCCTGTGATCGATTTTCTTATCCGCGATACATGTTCTTGCATCAGTGCAAGCTCAATTCCGAACTATAACCCACATGCATATGAGCCTCAAGAAAAACTCATAAGCCTCGAAGGCCAAAAAGAAACATAGGGGAACACCTGGCGAGTTTGCTGAATATGTTCAACAGTGAAACAAAACTTGGCACTCGGTATACCTAGAGTGTCTTTCTACGGTACGAAACAGACTTCAACTTCACTCCGCAGCAGAAGCATGACATGGGTCTCAGGAACTTCCATATTAACATCCGATTCACCGTGTAATCAAATCTCGAAAGCTAAGCTCTCAAAGAGATTGGCAATGGCACATTAGAATTCAGCGCGAGTTAGCGCTGTTATTAGCTTTGAAGATGCCGAATATCTACACAAGCGTTCCACCTCTTCATCATCACCCGTCATCACCCAGACTTGTTGCTTGTGATAGATGTGTGTAGCTTTCAGGGTAATATCTGTGTCAGCGGGATGCTCTTACTCATTACTGGCCTTGCTCCCGTTCCCTCACTGATACCCAGAAAGACGATTGGTACTGAACAGCGTCTGCAAGTACACGGCCTGCGGGTGTGGTAGTGCCCAACATCTAACATTCACGGTGTCCCTACCGCCATCACATAATCGGCCCCTATATACACTAGGAAGTGCCACCATGATCACGTTCAGTCTCTCTTATCATTTAGTTACGAAAAGTCACCTCTTCGAGCTTCCGGAAGTGTAACTACTCGACATGTCAATGGTGCTATGGGTTTTGCCTTTCCACATGTCCGAACGCCTTCAGACTACAACGGCCTTCGCATATTGGCACCGCTTAGCAATGATGAGAGGACTTCCCAGCGGCCTGAGAGACGATACTGGCAAATACCGCGTTCACGACCATACAATTCCTACGGCAATATCCACTGGCTCTTCTGCTTTATTTGCGGTGCGCGATGCTCCTCCACCATGAGCATGTGTAAGCTCGTCATTGAAGACGGTCCGCGAAAGTGACGACTCAATTCAAAGTAGTTAAACACAAAGGAAGCACTCTCCAGACCGCACAATGAGGGACCACACCCCACAGGCTACATGGGCACCAGCGTTCACACGTCAGATCAAAGCTGGAAGAGGTGCTATACTGTTATACGACCGTAAAAGCTAGAATTTGTATGTTAGCGGGCCATCTGCAGGTGTCTACGACGAGATATATCTTGCTTCATGCATGAACATCCAACTAAAAAGAGATACACCAACAAGGTTCCCTGGCAGATCTCATAATCACATACCCAGGTGATGTGAGGTGAGTCTGTGACTAGCCATGAACCCATACATATTCAGTAAGCTATAAACTGCTCGTTTGGGAATTGGGTGATGACTGGGACTGAAGTTTGGTCCACTTTCTTTCTGCTCGTAACCGTCATTAGCAAATCTCCGGGTCTTTCACACGCTTTGTATTTCAAGTTCAGTCAACTTTCATCAGATGAAGTGAGCCTTTTCTCGCAATAATCTACTCCCATGCTCTTGGTTCGCCGTCGTTAGATCTCTGCGTCAATTTACATCGAAACTAAAACTTATCGCTATTTCAGCGCTCAAACAGCAACATCTTTGTTCACCACACCAGCTCTAGCTACACATTTACGACAAGGAAATCCTTACTCTAATTATTCTTCTTCCTTCTTGAAGACATTTTCGTCTAGACAGAGGTCAATGAATATGACTTCGCGCAAGCCTTCAGAATCGCCGTATACAAACTTGACTACTGAAGAAAATAAGTGGTCTCACGCTCAATTCAAGGCCCCTTCCAAGAGTCCCACGGATGAACCGTCTTCACAGAGTAAAGACGTGAGTCTAGAGATTGAGCTTTTTGGTGAGGTAGATGCAGATGCCGAGCAAATAGACAACGATGATGAGATTCTTACAGAGTAAGGTTGATAATATTCATTCTACAGGAGTGGTCTCATTGTTGATGCAGGTTCCGCGTCATGCAGGAATTCTATCATGAGAAACAGCGCAACAAATTGCTCTCATTGGAGGACTACATAGCCTATGAGAGTGAGAGACGAAAAGTGCTGTTGTTACTCAAGAAAAAGCAACAAAATGACATTCGGAACGCAGAGGATGGTGTACAGTCAGTTCATTTTGTTTTTGGATCTCCATAATTTAGCTAACACATGGATTCTAGAGAGGAGGGCAGTGTGAAGGAATTTACAGAGAATGACTTAGCAATGCTACAGTCTTTGCATGCCGAGAAAAGCGTCCAAGATAGAAAGAGGATCATAGAGTGGCATAGTTTAAATACTGCTGTGCTTGCTAGCCGAGATTATAAGCGCCGCAAGACGAACAAGTCCGCTCCTGGTAATGATGGAGAGTTTGCAGGGAAAGATCCTGTCACAGTAAGACCTTCGATGATGAAAACGAACATCGAGATGTTCGCGGGCAAGGGAAAGAACACTACACCTGACTGCACGGCCAGTTGGATAGATAAGCATGGATCCACCTCGCGGCGGGATACACCGGGGTCAGAAGAACATCAGTCCCCAAGTCAGGATCCACTAAAGGTATACGAGATTACTGTCACAGATCGTGTGAGGCAGGATATAACAAATTCGACGATAGATGAGGGAGACAGTGTTCAGCGAACAGACCGCCCCATCGAATGGCAGAAGTCAATGAAAGCTTATTTCGCTTCTTTCAACTTGGAGGATCACAAGAAAGCAAGCACAGATAGAGCGATGATCGAGAGAGCGAAGAAATCTTTCTTTGGGCGTGGCTGTGTCTCTATGCGGGAGGGTGGCGTCTTTGCTATTAAAGGCATGAGGACCCTGCTGAAAGACTACCAGCTGATAGCCGCAGGCGAGATGAGAGAACGGGAGACACAGCCAGGAGCCATGCACGGAGGAATTCTGGCATTAGCAGCTGGGATGGGTAAGACCATCGTGGCCCTTTCTAACATTGTCAACGGGCGAAAGCCGTTGGGAGTGCAGACCAGATCTACGTTAGTTGTATGCCCAGCGAGCCTAAAGGGAAATTGTGAGTTCGTGTCGCACACGAGCAGACATCTATTGACTGTCCAGGGCGCGAGCAAGTCGAGGAACACTGCTACAGCAATAAAGCCTTCGACAGAATGGATCGACAAGCTAAGCGACTTGCTGAAAAATACGGCTTACGGGTGATGACGTACGCAAAGCAGCTTCTGCAATCTGGCTGCGACATTGATACTATCGAAAGTCACGATATAGTGTAGGACTATCGATAAAACATTCAAATGCATCGCAACTGACGCGACGCTAGGATAACGACATATGATGAAGTCAGAAATTCGCATCCAAGCTGGGAAGCTTGGTTAGCTAAGTTCGACCCCGATGGGCATAAGTCTGAGACAACGGTCAATAAAGCTTGGCAGGTGTATTTTGAGGGGAATTGTGGCATTTTTCATCGTTTGGAGTGGCACAGAATTGTGCTTGACGAAGGACACAGGATTAAGTCGCCCAAGTCCGCTACATCGATCGCTTGTCGAGCTCTTAAGGCCGACAACCGCTGGGTGTTGACTGCGACGCCATTAGACAATGAAATGTCTGATCTATATGCGATAAAGTCATTTTTGCAAGATCCGAATATTGGTAAGCTACCAAGTTTGGTATTTCTAGCTCTAGGTTGCACTGCTAATTAGTTGCACGAATTGTAGGTGGACTGAAAACCTTCAAGAGAAACTTTTGCAATCGTAATGACACAGACCATGCGGCCAGAGCAAATGCAGATATCGGCAGATTGATCTTCTGCCGGACGCATGGAGACTTGTTCAATAACAAACCATTATTGCCATTGCCGAAGATCATCGAGCGCGAGATAAGATGCGAACTGGACCCCCTGGAGAAGCTTATGCTTGATATCTCTCTCGAGAACTTCTACGATGAAGGAAAAGCGACCAAGCAGAGTCAATCCATGAGGAAGTCGATCTTGCCGTGAGTGTAATAGTCATGTGCAACTCTACTCTTTATTCGCTAAATTGACTCAGTTTCATCGATCAACATCGACGACTCCTCAGCCATCCTATTTTGTTTTATCATGTCATACAGCACTTCAGCGATCACCAGATCAAGCTTCTTCACGAATGTGCGGGGCGCTTGCATAGCGAAAGCTGTGTATCAGCTCCTGGCACTCGTGTTCGCCGAGCACGTGAAGCGATACGACTGAAAGACGGAATTGCTGGGCCATTCGAGCTACGTGGTCGCTCTTACGGTCAGCATGTAAGATGTGATAAATACTGGGACTGCATTCGGCGTCCCGTCGCGCTTGGAGATACTCCCGCTGAAAACATATGTGTAGTTTGCGGGCATATACCTGAGAACGCACAAATAGCGCCTTGCTTACACCTTTTTTGCAAAGACTGCATCTTGGGGATACGGGTAGGCTCAGAGCAAATGTCAAAGGAAACATCATGCCCAAAGTGCTCAGCTGCGATAACCCAAATGAAGCCTTTCACGCAACAGATCGGCAACGAGTCAAGAGCTCCAATGGACCAGAAGCACAACCCGTGGATAAATTTACCTGGCCCAATGATGCCATCAACGAAAACCCTTGCTCTAAAAGCACAGGTCGAAGAATGGATGGACGAAGATCCTGCAGTGAAGATAATCATATTCACCGAATTTCGACTGTGGTATGTTCATCTCAAAACTGTCGGACATGCCTCTGATATAGATCTAGCATAGAGCTACTGAAACACATCTGTACAGCGGAGAACTGGAAGTTCACTACGGTGAGCCTCTTTTCTTATGGCTGACTTATAGATAAGCATCAATGAATAACAACTATATCTATAGAGCTACGGAGCGATGAGCACGGATGCACAAGACCGGGAACTTAGAAAATTTAAGACCAGTGCGACGAAAAATATATTGCTCGCCTCCATCGGCTGCGTCGGAACGGGCCATAATTTGAAAGAAGCTACTCGAATAATCATACTTGAGCCCAACTGGAAAGCATCGACAGAGGAGCAGGCGGCATTTCGGATACTTCGTCTGGGACAAACCAAGGAAACTGTGATTGTGCGCATACATGTGAAGGGTTCGATCGACGAGCATGTGGTTGGAAGACAACAAGTGAAAGCGAATATGGCTGCTGCAATGCTCGATTCTGCGAGAAACAGGAAGTCTGTATAATTTGAAAGCCAATAGGAAGCCGCTGACATAGATACTAGATTAACGCTGTCGGCTCTGAAGAAGCTGTTTGGTCCTAACAGAGACCCAAACGAAGGACGAGCGTTCGAGCTTGTAGAAGATGAACCAGTCCCGGCATCGTATTGTCCAGGGCCGTCCACAGAACGAGGAATTCCTTTCACCAAGATGGCTACACGTGTAGATACCGCTGTCTCGAGCAGCGGTAACTCTGATGAATATTTTCATCGAGATCTCGACTGAATTTCTGACGGATCATCCCACAAGCAGTTACTAAGCTCAATCAGACTGCTACAAATTAATTATGGCCAGCCTTTACGTAATACCTCCTATGAGATCTTAGGTGATCGTTACGTCCCTCTCCGTTTCATATAGACTCGGCAATATCACCAATCATTCTCCTTGTTTCCGATATCAAACTTCCTCTGCAATATCTTCACCCTCTACACCAACTGCTTTCACCTGAATTACTCATCAGTTCGGATGCATCTTGCTTTGTAAATTATCGAATCCATCATATACCTAATGTTTCTCTCTTGATTTCAGGACATTAGTAGATCTCTTGCGGCACCCTCAGCGCTTCTGCTTGAAAGATAGCAGGATTGAGATTCTGTGAAAAGTGGACATACGAATATCTCCCCCTATAGGCCGATACAGCAGCATTAATTATATCGGCGTTTTCTTGCGGCAAAGCTCGTAGTCTTTAATTCACACTTCGTATATGCGAAGAGCCAGATGACTTTATGTGTAGATGTATACAAATACTTGTCCAGGGCCCTTGAGCACGTCCCTTACACACTGTGTTAGATATAAAATCACAGCTTTTGCCCAGTTTTGTCTTTTCCGCCTCTGAAATCCCAAAATCTATTTCAGGGCCTGAACCTGATAGCTGGCGGTCTTGTTTTATGCTCTTCAACCATCAACGCCGTGTCTATGTCCGAGACTACTCACCCTTCATACGTCACATCACCAGCCTGAGCGTTACTTTGAGATGCCTCCCCGAATAGCATCTCTGAAACATCCTCCGTACGTGTGTGATAATTGATGAACATCCAGATACATATGCACTTGCAGAAAGGCCATACCGGAGCAATTCCTATCTTCTTATATCAGCTTACCGAATACTAAATTCAAGATTTTGTGAGAATGTGAATCCGCATATTGAACAACGGGATATATCTACACGTGGGCTACCCAGGGATGTCGTAGTGGGTGGACTTCAAGCATGCAGGTAAGTGACGTCCATCGAAGCTCAGCCCTGTCGTAGCTTGCCGCTGACGTCAAACATTTCTGTGTTAATACATTTATCCATGCTCGAAGACGTAAGAAATTGAGGATGGAATACCAGGGAGAAGTGATATTCGATGTTCTGTATAGATCGTGAATCCACTGCAGGACCTTTAGACAGGCAAATTGAACTCGGCCCAGGCAAGTTAGTGGAGAAGAAGAAATAATAAAGTCCAACAATGTTTTACGACAGCATCGAATTCCTCTATAGACAACATTTTAATGCACCAGCCAATCCTATTTTCATACCAATGTATGACTGGGCTCGTTATAACCTCATAGACTCAGTACGTTGTTGCTCTCACGTAGCGCAGTAAGTTACGCATTTATCCCATTCCCAGAAGTTGGGATCCGCCCAGGCGATGCTAGGCCAGTTTGTTCCAGGCCATGATTTTGATTCCCTGTCGTAATTACTGAATCCTATTCTTTCGAAGCAACCAACAGTGCTCACAACATGCTCGCACATCCGGTAGTGTAGACAAGCTCGGTCTGAGATACGCATTACTCTGAAGTGCGAGCGATTGCACAGGCGCTCTACTGGGCCTTTTTCGGGCCAGCCTGCTGCTGCGGACCAGTGACATACTTGCGGATATCAGTTGCATCGGCAGCTTGCCTGATCAAATTTTTGAAAGTTTCCCATCCTTGTCGGGCAGCGGGGGGTGTGCTCTGGTTTGCGATTTGCGCGTCAATGCGAGCGGTTACCTGAGTGATTGCGTTTTGGACAAAGCCGCTCTGCTGGTAGCGAGCACGAAAAAAGACTGTGTAGATACCAAGAAGAATCCATGAACCCTTCTGAAACAGAAGAGCAGAGCCAAGAATACGAAACCAGAGAGCGATTTCGAGAATTGCGACCGTTGTCATGCTCGAATCATAGTAGGTCTTGACGAAACGGCCAATGGTCTCAGATAGCCCTGAAGGAGCTTGCTTGGCACCTGCGGCCCCACCAGCGGGTGGGCTCTGCAGAACAGGGAGCAAGTTCGCGCGGGTGTAAGTTGCAACGTGGAAGATGGAATAGACGGCAAATGGTAGAATAGCTAAAGGAATCTGGCGAGAGAAAAGCCAGACTGATGCCATAGCTGTGATATTGTTAGCGGAGTCGCAGCTGATATCCACTCGACGTACCCAGATATTGAACATTTTCATCTGCGAGCAAGCTCAGCGGGGAGCCCTGCTTCCCTTGCCGAGCACGAGATCGGTATCCCTTATAGACGACAATGCCATAGGTGACAGCTGCGGCAATAAATGTGGTACGATACGAGAATTTAGCCCAGCGCGAATAATAGTTGAAGGTCATGTATGAGAGCGAGTATCTTAGGGTCGTGGACAAGAGCGTGAGGTGCCCAACGAACCAGGCGAATTGTAGAGTCTGCGCGAGGGCAAGGAGTCGCTCCTGGAGAGATCCAGTTGTGGCAGGCTGTTGGGCAGGCATATCGACGTGAGGTTCGTTGCACAGAATCGTGAGCGCTGGTAATCAAGTGCTAGGAAGCCTGATGTCAGCAGGTGGCAGTAGATTCAAGGAAGCAATTGAAAATAAGGTGAAGCTAAGAAATGTGGTATTGAATGAGCTGCGCTTGCTTTTTACACGGAAAAGGGCTCTGGTAGATATGGGACCGTGGTGTGGTGGTGGTGGTGGCTGGGTACAATGACACCAGATTCATGATTTCGAGCCTGCTGCCCACTTTGCTGCCAATATGCAAGCAGTGACGACATGATGACAAGGACAATAACATACCTGAGTTTCTGAGGGTTCTTTGAAAAGATACTGAGTGCGAAGTGTACTGTCGAGCTCGTAGGGAGGGTTCGCGGACGCTTTGGTAGAGTAAGTGGGAAGAGAAGAATGTGCGCTGAAGAGGATAGGCAGGCTGGTGATCCAAGAACAACTTGTTGGTAAGTCGGTCCTGGCTGCAGCAGGCGGTGACGCAAGGCCGCTTTTGGGCGCGGATCATCGTCGCTTGCGCACACAAGCGTCCACAAAACCACAGTAAAGAGTGAGGCCGATTTATTTGAGCGTTGGTATGAAACTATACGAATACTTACGCAAATAACGGTCTGCAGTACGCTTAAGTCTGCCTCTGGTTATGAGGCACAACGTAGATTCTTCTGCTATTCACTAAGCCCTCGTTTATAGCTAGCATCACGTGCACGCAAGATGAGAGGTAATGCGAAAGCTGGAAATGGCTTCCGTATTCTACCCGCTCGCTCTTCACGCGTACAAAGTCCCTGACAAAGGAGATGGACTGTTAACTAAGCTAGTAAAGTAAAATACATGAGGAAAGTCAAAGTCACTCTTCACTACCTCGGCATATATGTTAATGAAGACCTTCGCTGCCTTGTACCTGAACTACCAGTCGAAGCAAGAGGTCTCGAACAGCAGAAGATTAGCTGAGCCAAGGTTGGAAATCAAACAATGGTTTCCGTTTGTTCGACCGTCATGATGTATTATGTTTTCTAGTCGCACCCAGTGCTACCGGAAAGCCTTGGCAAATTAAAGGGACTCTCTTCAGAAAGGGGGGAATGAGAAGGGAATGGGAACTTCGTGACAGTGGGAGTAAATATGTCACAAGTCGTGGGCCTACGTCGAGTCCAGTGCTCCGCAAGTAGCGAAGCCACCAATACCTTAACGGAGTGAGAAACCCTTCCTCTTGCCTTTCTCTTCGAGCGGTCTTCCACTTTCGATGCGAGATTTCTTTTCTTCGAGCTCTGCCTTGTTCCTGTCCAGTTGCTCCTTCATCTCTCTGTGTCTTGCGTAAAGCTCTTCCTCGCTCTGCTTCAATTTACTTTCCTTCTCAGACACTTTCTGCTGGAAGACCATCTTCATTTCCATCTCCATCTTCTGCAGCTTCTGCTCATGGAGCGAACGTTCCTCTTCTTGTTTGACGGCGGGGTTGACTTCTTTGAAGACACTGGGGTCTTGAGTCACACCCATTGAGGTGAGCTTGTCAGAGCGGTAGTTCTCATAAAGGGAGTTATTGGTGTTTTCCTTCAGTTCTTCCATGTGAGTACGTATGAGCATTTGGCGAAGCTTCACAAAGTCGCAGTGCTCTTCGTTGTCGACTTCAATGATACCCCATGGATATTTGCGTCCCCGAACCTTGCGTCCATCGACAGAGGTGACATCGGAGTTCGCACCAACAACGGCGAACGGAACCTTGGACATGATTTCATTGTTCTCAGAAATGGTCTCCTCATCATCAAGCTCATAACGAGGTCCCTCAAATATCTGGATGTTGTGATGAGCAATGTCTGCAAGGATCTGATCGTGTTAACCAATATGTTTGCACTTGAGTCAATTGAAGTACTCACTCTCTGTTTGAAAGCAGTGATCTCATCGTCGGTAAGAGTATCGGCTTTGGCGATGACAGGAATTAGGTTTACCTTGGTGTGGAGTCGACGCATGACCTCTACATCCAAAGGTTTGAGTGAGTGACCGGTGGGCTGAATGAAGTAGACACAGGCATGAATCCGATTGTCTACAATGTTCATACGATTGACCTTGTTCTCGGCATCTAGATAAGCATCGAAACGACCTTCGATGTTCTGAACGATGGTTTCCCAAGAATTGTCATTGTTGACGAAATCACCAAAGCCTGGAGTATCAACAACCGTCAGTCGCAGACGCACTCCATTCTCCTCAATATCAGCGCTGATGGATTGTATGGAGACCGTCTTGGGAATAATGTCGAGGCTCGGTGGCTTGCGCTCTTTGGGAGGGTAGAGAGAGGTGTTGAACAAGGTGTTGACCAATGTCGATTTACCGAGGCCAGACTCGCCTTTACAAAATAGTCAGGCAGTGTCAATCGATTTGGGAGGATGACTACTTACCGACGACCATTACATTGAAGTTGAAGCCTTTACGAACACTCTTGCGATGCCATTGGTTTGGGAGATTGGCGAAGCCAACATAGCCGGTGAGCTTCCTCCGAACAATGTTCCTCATGTCAGAGGCAGCCGCAGCCGCAGCTTTGGGATCCTTGGAAGTGATCGTTTGAGGAGCTGCGCCTTGGCCATTAGGCATTGGGTTGCTACGTTCGACAAAAGGTGAGGTAGGCTTGCCAGTTGGTGTAGCTTGCGTTGGGGGCGCAGGTGAAGCTCTCGTAGGGGCCGCCGCAACAGGCCCGTTGGAAGCTATGTTGTGGAAACTCATTAGCGTGGTAGAAGAGACAAAATGTTTGCGTCGATTTGGCAAGATCGCAATATCATCAGAGAAGTATAATTGATACAGTATGAGATGCGTTTGTAGTCCATGACAATTGAACATGCGCTGAGCGTAGGGATAGGGCAAATTGCTGCATGCAAATTCGTGGCAACAGAGCGGAGAAAGTGGTGGGTTGCTTACCCATCATGAAAAGCGCAAAAGCGGACGTAGACGACGCAGAGCGCGACCTGGGACTCCTACAGAAGACTGAAGTCAGCGTATGCTGGAGCTATGATGAAGGGCTGTGTAGTTGGAGGCTCAATGACAATCGCAGGACAAAATTCAGAAATCCGTGCAGAGATGAGGATATGGAAGCGGAGGAGAGCGAATTGATAGAGAGGGGAACGTACTGTTTAAACAGTCTTGTATGATGACACTGAGGTATCAGACGGGTGGAAGTAAGTCGGTGAGGACGTCGAAGGGCGACTTTGTTGTCTTGAAGAAGAAAAGTAGGGCGGAGGAAAGTGTAAAGGGGTCTGAGCAGGGGGTCGCTCGGTCGCTCTGTCTAGGTCTAGCGGACCTTTGAGGAAGTACCGGGCACCAATAGGAGCGCGGCAGGCCTGGTTTGTCCTCAAAGCTTTCTACGTCGCAACTTACAACAACCTAAGTGAAGCTGCAATTAAATATGAAAGATTCGAGCTTCATCGGGAAGTTCAGTGATAAAATCGACGCCCCGAGCTCGAGCATACCTAGCATACCCAGACAATCCCATGAATGTGTTCGATTGTCCATTGATATTTCTTCTCAAAGGGGCTAGCTTATGTAGTCACGTGATATCCAGTCATCCATGAGTAATGTCCATTATCCAGGAACACCACATGTTGCGACACAATGTCTGAAACCTGCGTACGTGATTGACATTACACGAGGTTGAAGCCTTAGAAGTTAGTATTGCTGGCGACGTCGGACCATGCAACAATAACCATGTTGTAGAGCAGAGCGACTCCACTCGGGAGTCGGCAGGCAAGGAGAAGTGAAGGCCCTTACGTACACAGTAGAACATCATAACATAACATACATGGATCTATGCATAAGCGCCTGGTTGGAATTTCCAAGTATGCACATGAGTTGGGTATCCTGTAAACAGTACTGCGCGTGAGATATCTAGGTTTTTAGCGCGCTGGCCAGAGCAGGCTTGTCGTACTTGACATATTTCCCCTTTCCCTTGTCAATCTCATGGTAACGATCCCAAAACCTTGAATAAAGAGGTTCGATGGTCTCTTGAAGGGTACGAGTGATACTTGCGCGTACATCCGCTTCCATCTTTAGGGCCCTGTGCTGAACGAGGAAGCCGTCGAAACTATTGTTGAAGCTGCGAAACTTCTCCTTGATAGCATCCTTGTCTTTTGATGACAGAGACTTGACGACTGTCGTAGAGTCGACTCCTGCACCACTAACGCTGCCCGAATGCGGTCTCCCCCCGCGGTTGGTATAAATGGTGTCGGACATCAAGATCTTCATGATATCTTGCCACGAGTCCTTGTACTGGTTTTCGCTCTTCTTCTTCCAACTGTCAAGTTTAGGTCCAACAGCAGTCAAAAGCGAGGACAGCTCAGACGAGCGGATAGCACGATCAATGATAGAGACGTTATTGGCTATAAAGATTCCTTGTAGATGTTTGCCTTTGATCAACACGCGACACTTGTTCTCCAGGTTCGACAAAAGTGTATCAATTGTATCCAAGGCATAGTGAGCAAACAGCTGTTGGCCGTCAGCGCCAACATCAAACGACTTCATCGTTGGTATTGAGTTCGATGATGCGGTCGCGGATGAGTTCCAACCACCATCTCCTAACGACGTCATGATCGAGGTGAGCGCTGGGAGATAAGAGGTCATATTTTGCAACCTAGTCATAGTCTCTATCGTCACGGGGACTGTTGAACAATCTGCTGATAAGGCAACAAGACTCTGAATGCGGTTCCGCGTATCGTCGAGAAGCTTCCCAAGCGATGATTTGGACGTTTCTCGGACGGGTTTCAAGGAGTCAGCTATCGGCCGTTTGAGCTCCCCGGTGCGTGATTCTAACCGAATGGACAGATTAGAGACGATTTCAATAATCTCGTATCCTAGAAAGCAATCGGTGTTTAGGTTGTTGATGACATGTGTGTTGAGTGTCTGTAGAGTTTTAGTGAATTCGTTGAGAGCATTTTGAGAGGTAGCTGTGAAGACGATTCCCCATTCTTCGCGTGAAAATACAGGACATATACTTTCATATTCGGCGATGAATAGACCTTCCAGAGCTTTGGCGTAGTGCCCTATGCCGTTGTCGCCTTTCTTATAAACAGAATCTGCAGTCACTTTACGAGCTGTGGATATTGAAGCTGCTGCTAGATTTCGAAGGCAGATGGTAATGTATTCTCCGCGAATTTCGGAATACACCTTTATCGTTGGGGTGTCCCGTATATCTCTTGAAGACGTTTGCGCGTATGAAGCAGCGGTGTGGGAGTGTATTATCCTAAATTGGGAAGATTTGTCTTCAGGTAGAGTTGGAAAAGACTTATCTATAGGGGTCAGCAAACAATAAAAGGTACTTGCAAGTAGTTCGCTTGCCCTTTGTAATATACTGCAATGGCTCAAGCGGCCTTGCATCTTCTCGAAGCATGTCTCTGAAGACATCTTCTAGCTGCTTTGTTCCCATCTTTATCAGGGAGGTCAGCTCCGCCATTGCGTTCTGATTCGATTTCAGATTGGACTGCCTCAGGCCTGCAAGAGCTTGGGTTGTCCTATCAAGTGATGCTATGTAGTCTTGCATACCGACCTTTCGTGGCCTTCTATTCTTAGCGGAGGAAACCCCCACGATTGGTGAGCATAACTCACCCAGCCTTAATGACTTGGTCTTCTCTACCACGCTGGTTCAATGGTTCACGGACTCGATCGATGGCGGTGATCATGCGGTCAATATCTAGACCAGGTCAATAGCCGCCGCAATACCACCATGAAGAACCACTGACTTGTGTTCGCGATCTGGAGCTTCTGCGTGTTGCTGTAGATAGGAGCAATGGCATCTTGTACACTTTTGCCGCTCGTTTCCAACCGATTGACGGAGCCTTGTATCTTCTTTGTCAAGCTCTTTAACTTGTCCATATTTGCAAAAAGCACCTCCACTTCTGCACTTTCTTCCGCGAAAGCGGCTTTGCGAGGAGCCACCATGGTGTCGTCAGTTCCCGTCCGGAGATAATTGATGCGCTGCTTCCCAAGGTTTGTGGGTTCGCGGGATTCGTACGGGTGGGCGACGGTTGTTAAACAACGGCCAGACGGAAGGGCAGATGCAGATACAGAGAGAGGGATGCGGCGAAAGGGGTGGGACCTGCTGCGGTGACGACGAAATGTAGTATTAATAGTGAGGATTCTAGGTTCCAAAAGCTCGAACAGTGCCACGGCAAACCAGGCTGAAGCTCTCTTCACCGCAGTAAAGAGAGGAAAGTCTATACAGCTGCTCGGCGTTCAACAGCCCGGATGAACTCGAGTTCTATTGACACCGATGGAGCTGTCTTAACTCTGCAAGGAATTTACGTAGTAATTAATGCTTTCGATGTTCGGATTCTGGGTCTCTGGAATTATTCCCTTCCTAAAGATATCTCATCGATCGTGATACTCGCACTGGCCGTTACCTAGACAAGTCCTGAGAAGACGGGATTGCGCAACCTGTATTAGACCACCCAGTACTTCAAGTTCCTGGAAAGAACCAGGCTGGGTCCACTGTAGTAGTAATTACTTACTAATATCCACAACTCTCCCCCGGGCCGACATTAGGCTGCCAGGCACCAATATTCATTATCAAGTGCCTAGGAGCAAAAGTGGCCCATCTAGCGTTCTGAATATCCGCTAATTTTTTCACCATTTGTGTTCCTTGTAGGTGCTTGCAGTCGCTTCTAGGAGAACAACAACTATGCATAGGCCGCATGCGGTCCCCGCCCATCGCCGCATAGGATTTGCTGCCCGACAGTAAGGATTTACGGAGACCTTGCGCATTATGGCTACTAACAGTGATTAGATACTCGACTCGCACCGCCCACCGACACCCGGAAGCCCGTCCTACTCACTTGTCAAGTGCAGCGCATGCGACTGCGGTGGCTGCTGCTGCAGGCCTCCTCCTGTACGGTCAGAGTCATGGTCATTTCGAGAAAGTAGGTGTCTACTTTCACCAATCTCAAAGAAAATGCGATAGCTCCGACAGATTCTCGCGCTGGGGACGAGAGGCACCTATCATCGAAAGGAGCAAAGATCAAAGAAGGAAGCAGACCAGTACCGACGCACCCGCCGCATGCGTAGATGGTTCAGGCGCCCAGTCCCCTCCATCACAAACGCAGAGGAGTGAGGACAGCGAAGGGAAGAGGCCTTGGATAGACTTTGAATCTATAGGCGACAAGATCACGAACCTATTAGTTCCTGACTGGGTCAAGCTCCTGCCGGAGTTCATCACAAAATTGCAAAATGAGCTCTCAATGGCTCCGGGATCACTCGCCGAACAAATATGGTGGGAAGCTCATGATCCTGAGTCAAATCCTGAGATCATATGGGACGCAGCGGTCAGGGTGTCGAACGAGATATGCCCACAAGAGAAGAATTTCCTCGACAACCGGCGACACTTCACGCGTAAAGCTCTAGCCAGCTATCTGGATCTCAAGGAGGAAGATATTCACCCGAACGATATTCCGGTCATTGCTATGTGTGGCTCTGGTGGGGGCCTGAGAGCATTAGTTGCAGGTGCCTCGTCTTACTTGTCTGCCCAGGAGGCTGGACTGTTCGATTGTGTGACCTACTCGGCTGGAGTCAGTGGGAGCTGTTGGATGCAAGCACTTTTCTATTCTTCCATCACAGGCCAGAACCACCAAAACCTCATCAGACACCTCAAAAGTCGACTGGGTGTTCACATTGCGTTCCCACCGACAGCCCTGTCACTGTTAAACTCGGCCCCCACGAATAAGTATCTGCTTGGTGGACTCGTGGAAAAGCTAAAAGGAACACCCGACGCTGAATTCGGACTGGTTGATGTTTATGGACTATTACTCGCAGCACGTCTACTCGTCCCAAAGGGAGAACTTGCTGTACATGACGCAGATCTCAAAGTTTCTAATCAGCGCCGATATACTGATGGCGGGAAGTTTCCGATGCCTATTTACACAGCTGTTCGACACGAGATACCATTTCAAGAGCAGAATGAAACGAGTGTAGAGGCAGCGAAGGAAAGGGCCAAGAGAGAGGCATGGTTCCAGTGGTTCGAGTAAGTAGACTTTGCCCCTGTTACATTCGTTACGAATCTGACTGGCTAAGAATCACCCCATACGAGTTTTGGTGTGAGGAATATGAAGCCGGAATTCCAACCTGGGCGATGGGTCGTAAATTTGAAAATGGTAAAACCGTCTGGCAGAATAATGGCATGGTACTCCCCGAGACCCGTGTCCCTATAATGATGGGCATCTGGGGCAGTGCCTTCTGTGCTACACTCTCGCACTATTATAAAGAGATTCGCCCTATCGTGAAAAGTCTCTCGGGATTCGGAGGCATCGACCAACTCATCGCTGAACGCGACGATGATCTCGTAAAGATACACCCGATCGATCCTGCCACCATTCCCAACTTTGCCTTAGGCATGCAAGGTGCGCTTCCCACATCTGTCCCTAAAGATGTTTTCGAATCGAAGTACCTCGAGCTCATGGATGCTGGAATGAGCAACAATCTCCCAATCTACCCACTACTTCGCCCCGGCCGCGAAGTTGACATTATTATTGCGTTCGATGCCTCCGCAGACGTCAGGGAAGATAATTGGCTCAAAGTTGTTGACGGCTATGCCCGCCAGCGTGGCATCAAAGGTTGGCCCATCGGCGCAGGATGGCCCACTGTGGGCGAAACAAAAGAGCAAATCAACCAGGAATTCGAATCAGCACAAGCCAACACTGAAGCTGACGCGCAGCAGAAACTTGCCAAGGCACAAGATTCCGATGATAAGGACAGCAGGCCTAGTGCAAACGTTGAGAAGGACCTCGGGTTCTGCAACGTCTGGATTGGCACCACTGAGGAACGCACTTCAGCAGACATCCCCCCAACATCACATGTCGTAGAAGAAGACTGGCAACTCATGACGCCAAATGCTGGTATCACCGTTGTCTACAATCCGTTCGTCCCCAATCCTTCCGTTCCCGGCATAAACCCCTCCACATCTGATTTCATGTCAACGTGGAATTTCGTGTACAGCCCAGAAGAAATAGAGAGCGTTGTGCAGCTGGCTAAGGCAAATTTCGAAGAGGGCGCCGAGAGGACGAAGAGAACTGTGCGTGCGGTCTATGAGCGGAAGAAGAAGTTACGACTCGAGACGGAGAAGGTTACGAGGGAGGCAAGGAGGCGAGCGAAGGTGCGCAGGGGTGAAGGAGGGAAGAAATTAGGACAGGGAGATCATGCAGATCATTTTTCGTGAGAACTCGAGGCTGGAGCTGGAGCTGCATTCGATACTCAGAGGCGTAAATGTACTTGATAGCACCTTCTTGTTACATGCGTTTGTAGTCATAAATAGCTTACCATACGTAGACATAGATATGGAAGGACTTCGAAAGTCTCTATCATGATTTACATAGCCCCGCTGATTTTCTAATGTACAATATGTATATATAAGTGGATACAGGTGGCTGCTTTTCACAGCTACGACTTGAGAATCCACTATTCGCTCTCAAAACGACAGTTTTTGAAATCCGCACGGCGGATGATCGTTCATGGTTTCGTCATTGTATTCCTCTTGCTCAGGTTATAGTGCCTGCACACTATTCGATCAAGTGACGACCTCGCCCGGGTCAACCATATTAGGTATCCACTTACTTTTATTGCCCGCTCCCTCAACGCTGCTGGGCTTCGTGACTTCCATCGGACTGTACAGATACCAACTCTTTAGCGCCGCAACGGCAGCACGGGTACGCGCTTCATCGAGGCTGGCGCCAGCGGCCTGTCCTAGCTCATCTTCCCCACTGAATACGCCGACAACAAAGACAGGATGTCTACTCAGGCGCCCAGTCTCGGATATGAGGCGAGCGACAGGCGGATCGAAGCCTTCTCGAGCACACAGCCTCGAGAGATCGTATTTGGGCTTCTTGAATTCGAAGATGGAGGCTATATCGAGTTGACGGGAGAGTAAGTGAGAGGTGAAGAAGCGCTGAGTAGCTATACGGCCGCAGTGGAGATAGATTGCGCCAAACAGAGCCCGTATGAAAGACGCGTTGGCATCTATGGCCGTTGCTGTTCGGAGACCTTCCTGCTTTGTTGCTTCAGCCATCTGGTCTAGTATCTCCTTCGAGGGGTGCATTTCGCCGAATTGGTCACGCTGACTGAGCCAATTTGCTCCACGTTTAAGAACATTTGCTGTGCCTTTCAGCACTAGGTTTTCCGCTTGTTCTTGCATTCGCAATGCGTCTGGGGATTGATCTGCCGACATGAACATAAGATGCCCTGGTTCAACCTCGTCTCCGGGATATGCGTGCTCTATGCCCCATTCCGATGCCATAGCAGAAAGAGTGTGTGGCCCTACGTAACCCCATTGAGCCGCGAATAGCACAGACATAGGCAATCGAGGATAATGGCAGAGGAGGTGCTCAGCGGCATAGTATGCTAACAGGTCTGTTCCTAGCACTGCGAGGGATTCATTGTTGTATTCTGATGAAGGATTTGCTGTTGGATGTACCAATGTGCGTGCAAGGGTCTCTAGAGGAAATCGTGTAGGTAATGATAATCGAGCGTGGAGTGCTGCGAGCTTGGCGGACTGTCGCGCCACCGATGGAGATGGCGATCCGAGTAGCAGATCAGGGTCCGCGAACTCTTTAGCAATTCTGTCACGATCCGCTGCTTTGCGCTCGTGATACTCTTCATTGGTTTCCTGAACCCACTGGCTTCTGTCCAAGTCTTGCTCTACCTGCTCTTGTCCTTGTGTTGCCCCATATCCATTTTCTCCTAGGTTCTGCGTCGACAGAGGGTATTTGTGTATTGCTGATGCGGAAAGGGCGCGGTGTTGAACTGATCTATATGAACTTTGTGCTGGACGAGGAAGGTAGGGAATGGATGTAGGTTGTGTCCGAAGCGAGAGGAGTTGGCGACCCCATCTTTGTATCCGTAATCGCTTCATTGGAGAAAATGTGGAGGACGGGAGAAGAACGCAAAGCGGAGCGAGAAGACGTCGAACAGTTTCAAGATAGGGGCGTGTGCTGCTCATAGAAAATATTCGTGACCGAAGCTTTCCTTCTTCATGCACATTCGGATTAGCGTGGTGTTATGTAATCTTGATTCAGCGGCGAACCACCACTCGTCACGACGACGTTGGAGGTACGGATGTACATGACACCACAATCGTTCAAAATGGGCGCCTCCGGTCAAGAGATTGACGAACTATTCCAAGCACTGAAACGCGTAGAAGGTAAGATATATGATATCGCTGCGATCCACCCAGCTAACTCCGTCACCAGACAACCGTCAAACAACACTTGCTTCTCTGCCCAAATCTACAAGACAGGAGATCGCTGCCGCTCATCTAGGTATCAATGCAGAACCACATCACGGAGAACCCCATCTTACGACTCGGCCGAACCCTTACAAGCTTGAATCCTTGAAAGATGGGAAGATCGTGCGGTCTACCGCCGACAAGGTCCTGTATGCGAGTCACTGGGTCTCGCCCACTCCATTCATGCTCGAGGACTAACTACCAATTCTCTATAGGTATCCCAAACACGTTTGGTCACCCTCTGGTGGATGGTATTCGAGGCCCGCAAATTGGAAGGCCAACACAGCTATCATGGGAGCTGTAATCATCGGACTCTGCGGAGTGGCGTTGTCGGTCAGTGCGAGCCGAGAAGAGCGTTACGGAAAAATGCCTAGGTCCGACAGATTCTATCCCAGCAGATGGTAAGCTTCGTTGTCGACATGCTAGAAAGTAGACTGAATTGTCACAGGTGGAGTAGGGAGATCAGAGAAGCAGAAGCAAGGTCAAAGGCCTAAGGAGCGCGCTCTCGGCCCATTGGGACATCAATTGAGCATGTGAGGAAAACTAGAAGTAAAACCTATTGTTTGGACCTTGGGTTGTGTGCTGGTTAGCACTCAAGGCTGTACATACTGCTCCAGCCCCTCTTTGTATTCCGAAAGTCGTTGGAAAACGCTCTGTCCGTTCCACAGTTCTCCGTCATCTCTACTTTCGAGCGTTGGCATACCAATTTGCTCAATTGCAAAACTTGCAGCCACTGATCCCCAGCAAGCTCCATCTTCGACCTTTGAAACCCAATCTTCCTCCTGGCTGCGGACAAGTCCAATGGCCAAGCCTCCAAGGAAACCATTTCCACCACCTGTCGGATCGACGACCTTATCTGCATTTCGGTGATATGGTGGCATCCATGACGCTTTCTCCCTGGTGGCAACATAGCATCCGTCCTTTCCGGCTCGCACGACAACAGCACCAAGCCCATTTCTGCCGATTCCAGAGGCAAGCCAGGAATCAGCACACTGTTTGACAAAGGACTTACTCACATCATCGCCGTCTATAGCGCATACTCCAAAAAAGTCTCCGAGTTCGGAGTGATTGGGGCTCACTATGTCAACAGCATGCAAAGCTTCCAGACAGTTCTCAAGCTCCTCTGGCTTACAAAGGTCGGGCACGGGTTCCCAGATGAACAGCGGCGGATCTCCAGGCTGTGCATGAGGCATTTGATTCCGGCGACAGATGATACCCTTCGTCATCTCGACACATCTCTTAGGAGAGCATATGAGATGGAATGACTTGGATCTTAATAGATTGTAGTCCAGGGACTCATGATCAAGCCGTAGCTTTGGTGTGGTATATCGAAAAGCTGTTAAGTTAGATTAGAATGTTCGTGAAGGTTGCAAATTACATGTTTCTAGTACATACCTCTGTGTTCGTTCTCGCCATATCCGTTCCATCCTCTCGTAGTCAGTCTATTGGGGGTTTCGCGCATGAGACACGTAGTGCACCATTGCGCAATATTCTTGCGAAGGTCTGACGGAAAGTCAGACCCGCAATCAATTATCCATCCAACCGAATTCGATAGCGGTGGCGGTGACAGTAATCGCGCGCCCAATGCCGAATATGCACCTGCGCCGCCAATAATGTTCGTCGCTGCTGGCTTGGGTGGTGGGAAGTGTATTTCATCTATTTACCTTTGTCAGCTCTTCCATTGATGAGCCTTAGCATAGTCGAGTCGAGTCTCGATACCAATTATAAACATGCCAAGAGTACAGAAATCTATTCTCACGTCCGTCTGAGGCACGTTCCTCATCGGATCATCCATTCTTAGTCGAGCTGGGAGAAGTCTACTACGCCTGCTTGTGTTGATATTACCGACTGTATGAGAATGTTCAGCACCAAATTGCAATCTACAGACTTAACACCTGACGAAGAGGTCTGAAAGAAAGTTCATCGACTATTTGAGCGTGCGAGGAGCTTCGAGATACACAGTGTCTTTGTATGTTGGGAAAGGCAGACTGCACTATATCTCAGGGAGACGGGACGATCCAACAAGGCATCAAGGCATCCATCCTCTCCTTAAACTTCTACTTCTCACATCGTCGCAGCCAGGCATCTGTACAAAGTCATCGTCTGCTCTATATACAGCTCTATTCGCACTCTACAATACCTGTTCGGGCTCTGTCGTTCGACGCACTGCGGAATCTTGTCGTCGCATCGATTGGTAATCGTTAGCCACTAAACACATCTTGCGATCAATCATTTGAGCATCCCCGTTGCACCATTACCATCAGTACTTCCTTGCAGCTGCGCATATCCCGGCAGATATGGCGGCAAACAACATGCATAACCTTACGACTCTCATAAAGCGGTTCGTTTCATTTCATTTTCATCCTCGACAAAGCACTATTTCCGATTACCCTTCGCAATGCCCGACCGTCTGAGCTATCGGGTCACTACACCCGTAACAGCTGGTAACACCGCGCTGACGGTATTGATTTCTAGGCTTGAAGCTGCTACCTCTCGGCTCGAAGATATTGCATCGTCAACTTTTGAGCAGGAAGGCCAACGGGGCTCAATTTCAACTGCGACCCCAGTCACAGCTATAGCTACTACGCCTGCTACTGCGAAGACTCCTACAGCCCCAGCAGCTCTATCTCCCCCCATGATATCGATGCTGCCACCATCGGTAGAAGGGTACAATGAACTTATAGCAGGCCCTAAAGGCGTCCAGGCATGGAAGACTCAGAGCGCCCAACTTGACCCTGTCCTTGGGGAACAGGCCGCTGCAGTTGTTAGCGCATTCGAAGCTCAGAAACAGTTTCTCCTTGTCACAACAAAGGCCAAGAAGCCTGATGTAGCGTCCTCGAAATACATGGAAGTCTTGAGAGACCTTCAAGGAGCAATTGAAAAGGTGGACGAGGTTCGACAGTCACACCGCGCTTCTGAGCTGAAAGACCATCTATCTATGGTAGCTGATGGAGTCGGGGCCTTGGGATGGGTGACGGTCGATAGCAATCCTAAACCTGCCGACTATGTTTCGGAACTTTTTGGCGGCGCTCAGATGTACGGAAACAAGGTTCTCAAGCAAAAGTAAGACTACTCAGATTTGTAAAAGTATCTCAACTCATCAGGGTCCAGACAACCACAGCACACCGAATGGGTTCAGGCGTACTATTCTATATACAAGGATCTTATTGCGTATGTCAAGAAGTTCTACGAACGAGGGGTACCTTGGAACAAAGATGGCATCGATGCTATTGAAGCCTTGAAACAGGTCAAAGCTAAAGACTGTTCTACTGTGAATGGTGCAGTTCCTGCTGGTGGACCTCCCCAACCGCCACCCCCGCCACCGTTACCAACCTTCGATGCGATCCCACCCCAATTGCCGCCAGCGCCGGGTGCTTCTCGGGGAACGGCTCCGACAGGTGACATGGGTGCTGTCTTTGACCAACTCAATAAGGGCTCAGACGTCACCAAGGGATTGAAGAAAGTTGATGCAAGTCAAATGACTCACAAAAACCCTTCACTAAGAACATCCTCATCGGTGCCTCAAAGAAGTAATAGCCAATCTTCTTTGATCAGCAGGAGCAAGTCTCCAGCGCCCCCAGGAAAAAAACCAAAGCCCGAAAGTATGAGGACAAAGAAACCCCCCAGGAAGGAGCTTGATGGCCAGAAGTGGATAATAGTAAGTGCAGCTCAGCATTTGAGGGCTTTGTTACTAATACCCAGTCAGGAAAATTTTGAATCCCCTGATGAAATGATTGAGATTGAGGCCAATCTCAAGCAATCTGTACTGATCACGAAATGCAATAAAGCCACAATTCGTATCATTGGCAAAGCCAATTCCATCAGTATTGATAATTCCTCGCGAGCATCCCTCGTTATCGACACCCTTGTATCATCCGTCGATGTGATCAAATGTCCAAACTTTGCTCTTCAGGTGCTGGGAAGTCTACCTACTGTACTCCTAGACCAAGTTGATGGTGCATCGATATATCTCAGCAAAGACAGCCTCAGTACGGAGATCTTCACCAGCAAGTGCAGCAGTATAAACATCAACATACCACCAGCGCAGGAGGATGGTGACTACACCGAGCATCCCACCCCGGAGCAGATCAGAACGTACATCAAGAATGGACAGCTAGTGAGTGAGATTGTTGAACATGCAGGGTAGAAGACCAGGTGTTTCTGGAATAAGCTGTACTCTTATGTAACTATAGATACTCTGTCATGCTCATTAATACAACACTTAGACATTTCCTAGGTATGAACCTTCCTACATACTGGCCGAATCTTATCACAGCCACAGGTATTAGCTCGTCTACGAGGCTGTCTAGTGTAGGTAAATACAAACAATTCGGACGTCAGAATTCTATTCTCGATTTGCTAATTCTGACCTGCTCTGCTCTTTCTACTATCGCAAGAAAATCAGTACGCACGTTGAGGGTTTGATGCTTCAGGTGTCACGATCTCTTGTCGAGAGTGTACTGCAATCTGTCGGCGATATGAATTGTACAGGTACCATCTCAAGCATACACCAAGAGCTTGCTTAGTATCATGGTACATGGAAAACATGACCGAAATGAGAACTAAGCACAGAGGAGTAATTATGTCACGAGGAATGCTTAAGCTATGGGAGCACATAAAGCACTTCTCTAGATTCCTGTGGCTTTGGCGACTTCTAGCCTTGGAACAGGCGCTGAAAAGTCTCTACTCTAGAAGATATGCCCTTTCTATCGTCCCGAAAATATTTACGGGTTTAAGGATACCCCCTCTGTTTCGGATCCCGGTGCGGCAGTTGCATCCGTGTCTGTAGACTTAGTGGGTCCGCAGTGATCCTTCGTTGTCAGTGATCATGGTGACGTATCAACATACAAGGCACCATTGGTCTCACGGCAATCGATCACTTCTCAGTAAGATGGCTTCCTTGGTAACAACAATCCCACATATGCTGCTTGTTCATGTCAGGCGTCAATCTTGGCCGCAATAAGTGTTTGGCACTGTTTGTAAGACTATGCACGCAAGAAGACCTGCTTCTGTTTGTACTGCTGCCAGTAGATACATGTGTTCATATCCGCTGTATTCCGTCGTGATTATGACTATCACCTATGTTGATGTGTTGATAAACATTCGAAGCATGATGGGAAGAATGATATCTGAGTCACCCGACATTACCCTACATGTGACCGTAATCTCGCGAGTATGGCAGAAAGGCGACAAGATAACCTATGGTATATCGGGTTACATATCAATGGCTAGCGACGACCCCGGACTGTCGAGTTCTATTAGTCCCTGAATCCTGAATTCGTAGATGAGCTAGATATGCAGGCGAATACGTCTACATCTCCTGATTGTGGAGCTTTGACATCGAAGTTAGCACGACATCAGTCGGATAGAGCCTGGTAAGTTAGGCCATGTCAATTGAATGAGAGAAAGAAGGTTTAGGATGATGACAGTTTCCAAGAAGTATTCAACTTTTCAGCACCCTGGTGACATTCTTACACATAGGTTTTCATATTAGAGCACTTCGGGTTGGCTTCATTGCAAGGACGAGCGTGTGGTACCATTGTATTACTATAGATGCACCAGAAGAACATAATTCATGGACTTCTAGACTTTAATTGATTAAATTGTGCATCTCAAATGAGCGACAGCGCGACAAATCAACCAAGGGGAGATCCTATACTAAAGCAAAGAACAATAAGATGACCTAAATAATTGAATCAATCGAACATCTTTCTCTCACAATATACTGTAATACGTACCAAATTTCTGCCCGGCGCAAGTGGTCACATAGTAATGGTACCACCCTGGTAGGCTCTTCTTATACATTGATTATTGGACTCGATCTCCGCGACGACCCAATTGAACAATGTGTCCCCTCCTGATATCGACGGAGTAGGAAGACTGGTCTAGGTTGGATAAAATAACAGCGATGAAAATCTGCCTTGACTGAAGCTATTAGAGCTTAATGGTTTTTAGGTTTAGCTTGCTGATGATAGACCTTGTTGCCTTTCGAGGATGAAAGTACTGGGGGCTTGCCGAAGGCACTGGATGGGGTTCCACCCATTGTATGAATATGTACCCGTTGCTCATGCGAATCTTACATATGGCACTGGTTCAACTTCTCAAGCAGCTTGATTCCTGATGGCAGCCATGTTATCGAACATGCTGATTTGTACCATGGTCGATCACGACCGTACAGAATGAAGAATACCTCTTCTGGCTGTGTGTCGGTTAAGCTTGGTGAGACAGGGCTGCGACGATGGTGGTCATCAATATTGTTCGCGGTAGTCAGCCCAACACGACATCCTGCTCACCTTTACCATACGTTCCAGATGTAATCACATACTTCTACTGATTATTTGCATATAGAAGTAGCACCCACGTCATTTAATCTGACGAGACAAATTCAGCTTGATACTATGTTAAGCGCTGTAATCCAACACCGTGGTCCATAGGCAGTGATACTGTGAGAGACTGTTCTGGAGATGTATAGAACGAAAATGAATGTTAATGGTCAGGGATATTCGTGATGCCCATACGAAGATCCTTCTCACCTAAGTACTTACTTACAGATACGCTCCGGGTACACTGATGCAGAGTTAAGAGACTTTTGTTTTGCAGAGGGTCATATCATGATACCCATGACACTTGTACATGTCCTCTTGCTTTTTATTGACTTCCAGTCCTCCTAGACTGTCATATATCTCAACTTAGACTCACGAGATATCGAAAAGCGGCTTGAAATCTCTTAGTAGAGCCCATTCTTCCTTCTTGACCTCATCGCGGTAGAACTCCTTGAGCGTGTCGATACTCAGCCGACTAATGGAACTGTACACCGGGTCCGTCTCCTCGATATGTCGACCGTACATAGGCTGATTGGGTCCTTCGATCTTGACGGCAACGGATGGAGATCCCTTAAGGGCGATGGGAATGTCTTTGTGCTCGCGCTGGATGGACGTGCTAGAATGAATGTTAGCCTGGCTGGCGGCCATAAAGATTGGGGATACTGAGATACATACACCCTACCCAATGGAATGATTTGCTTTTTTTTGGTTGCTGGATCAATCTTGACGATTGACACAGGCGTCAGCAGACGCAAACTACCTAATTCAACATCCACACCTATAACGATCGGATTGTTTTTGTTGAAAACGGCAATCGGTTTCAACTTGCATGGAAAGACAGCATGTAGCTTCGATTCTTCCTTCTTCTTTTCCCTAAACTGATCCATATGCTTCTTGAAATTGTCGAACAGATGGTAGATGATGTCAGCTGTGAAGATCTTGATATTATACTTGTCAGCAAACTCTTGTGCTTCCTTGTCGACCTTCACATCGAAAGCGAGTATCATGGCGTATTCGGGCGCCTTTTCCAGCATAATTGTGGCCGGGAGAACATCACGCTTGAAGATGGGGCCAATGGAGATGTTGGCTACGGGCACTTTTTCAACGCGGAGATACTCGAGTAGAGCCTCGAGGGATCCAAGTGTAGACGCTTGCACAGAGACACCTTGCTTGTTCTTGGCAATGTTATTTGAGAGACCGCGTAGATCTTCTAAAACATCATCCATAAGGTCATCTTCATCGTCGTCGGGGCCCACGACAAGGAGACGAGAACCGGCAATCGCACCATCGAGTCCATCGGCAGCAATTTTGATACCCATGGCAGCCTTGATCTCTTTGTTGTGCACGTATTGCGATTTTATTCGTAGCTCCTTCATTTCAGCAGGTGTCAACAGGGCTCGAATATTCGTTGCTATAGGCGCGTCTTTACCACAAAGCACAATGCGGTCACCTTCCCGCAGAATACCATTGGAAAGAACAACATCGATAGTAGTACCGAGGCCTTCAATAACTTTCACTTCTAAAACAGTGCACTCAACCTCAGAGAGATACATTAGGCTGCTGGTAAGGCGGTCCTGCGTAAGAGTGATAAGTAGCTTGAGTAGATCTGGAATACCTTCACCAGTATGGGCGGATGTAGGGACGATAGAGACAAACTTCGATAGCGACTTATTCTCGTAGAAGAGTTCAGAGTTGAGGCCCTGTTCAGCAAGAGCAATCTTAGCCTTGTTAAGACGATCGGCAAACTCGGCCTTGACATCCTTCTTCTGCTTGCTCAGGCTGTCTTGGAAGCCATTGTCAGCCGTCTTGTTCCAGCCGTAGAGTCTGTCTATCTTATTGAGGGCGACAATGAAAGGCGTTCGGCGAGCTTTCAAGAGGTTTAAAGATTCGATGGTTTGTGGCTCGAGACCGTGCATAATGTCGATAACCAGAATAGCCATGTTGCAGAGAGAAGACCCTCTGGTACGCAAGTTGGTAAAAGACTCGTGACCAGGTGTGTCAATGACCAAAAGACCAGGAACCCTGAAATCGAATGTATTGTCTTTATTGACAACTTGTGTCTTTTTCTTCAAGGCTTCGGCTGGGAAGTATGTAGCACCTATCTGTTGTGTAATACCGCCAGCTTCGCCCTCTTGGACGTTGGTTTGTCGAATTTTGTCCAAAAGCTTGGTCTTACCAGTATCGACATGTCCCAGGATACAGCAGATAGGAGAGCGGAGGTCCTCTTTTGAACGTGCTGCCAGAGCTTCTTCGCGTGCTTTCTGTCTTCGCTCGACGGCAGCGGCCTTGCGAGCAGCCTCCGCACGCTTTGCGGCACTCGTCTGGGCTTCTTCTTCAGGATCACTGTCATCTTCAGAATCTTCTTCAGAGTTTTCTTCGGAATCTGAGGCCTCCACTGTACTCTGCGAGCTGGGCAGTGCTGATTTGCCGTTGGTGGTAGTAGCTGCATTCGCTACTGGCTGCTCAATCTCTTCTTCAGAGTCAGCATCCCAGCTGTCCTTGATACCGTCTTTCTCAGCTTCGTCTTCCCAATCTCCCTGGTCGTCACTGGCTTCTGCTTTCTCTGTCTCGACCGCTTCTTTGGCTGCTTTCTCTGCTGCAGCTTTGTCACCTTCGTCCTTGAGTCGAAGCTCCTCCATCTTCTTCCGAGCATCTTCTTCCTCAGCCTGTGCGTCTTTCTTGTCCTCGATTCCCTTCTTGCCTTTCCTCTTTCTATCGTAGGTGGGCTTCTTCTTTTGATCTGCTCCGTCTGTGCCCTCTTCTCCGAGACCTGCGACTTTGACATTTCCACTTTCCACTAATTGCTTGAGACGCAGTTCAGCTTTGGCCTGTGCCTCCTTTTGAGCCTTAGTCATGTATTTGCCCTCTTTCTTCAATTGCTCAATCTTTTGCTTCTCCTTTAGCTTCTTGGCTTGCTTCGCTTCTTCCTTCCGTTTTGCTTCCTCCTCAGCTTCTCGGTCGAGCTGTTCTAAGCGCTCCTTCTCTTCGGCAGCTAAGCGAGCTTCCTCCTCTTGCCTAAGTCTAAGCTCTTCCTGTTGCTTTTGTAGAGCTGCGAGAGCTGCTGGCACCTTCTTCTTTTTACCACCGGCGGCAGCAGAGGTTTCTTTGCTTGCAGGGGCGGGTTCTTTCTTGGCTTCTTGAGCTAGTTTCGCTGTCTCAGGTTTCGCGGCGGGAGCCGGTGTGCTCTTCTTCTTCGCTGCAGCCTATGAAGCGGTCAATTTGATGTGTGATTAAACTTGTATACGAAGAGATCAACCTGTTCTTTTTTCCGCTGTTTTTCACGCTCTTTCTTCTCCTTCTCCTTCTCCTTCTTGGTCTTTACTCTGCCTGTGCCATCGCCCTCATCTTCATCCTCGTCTGGTACCTGAGGCTTCTTATCTTGCTGCGGTTTCTTCACCGGAACTGACCACACATCATCCTCGTCTGGATTCACCTCCACTGGTGTTTTCGCAGCCAACCCGAGGCCCTTGGCGTCATCTGCTGTCGAGTCCTCGCCCTCAACGATTTCTTGCTGAGGCTTGTTTTTTTTGCCCTTCTTTCCCTTGCGCATCATCTGACCCATAAGACCACCAGAGAAAGCGTCGTCTCCAACGGGTATCTCATCTTTTGTAGCTTGAGCTTCAGGCGCAGTGGACCCAACGGACTCGCCGAGGTCCGCTTCCCAGTCGTCCTGGGCTTTCTTACCCTTCTTCCCCTTAGGAGGCATCGTGATCAGTATGGGTTGGACCTCTATAGCTTGCTCGAGGCTACCACTGGCCTTTAGGAGCAAACCTTGGATTTTGGTGAGGTGGGGTATTTCGCGTGCGCGTTTGCTACGTTTGACGAGGTCAAGGTCAAAGGGAGAACGCCAGGTTTGATTATGGAAACAGGTCGGTCAAGTATGAAATATGGCCTCTGGAGCAGCGTGTCTTCGCAATACTACATGTGGAATTCACGGTGTTAAGAGTGCAAGTGAATATGCAGCGTGGCGGGGTCATTGTGCACAGACGGTACTCGATCCGGATCCGTCGTTTTCCTAGACCCTGACGAGCTTGGCACTCGTGCACGTCTGTATTCTCACTCCTATCTTTCTATGTAGAGCTCTTCCTACTTTTACATATAGACCTTAGTAATTAATAGTATTAACTTTAATATAGAAAATTAGATATATATTTATTCTTCTATAAGAGTTATAATATATAGACTCTAAGATAGAGAGATAGTATTAGATACGTAGTCTACTAGTTAATTCTATATGTATATAGTAGTCGTATATAAGTAGTATACTCTACCCTTAAAGTAGTAGCTTTTATAAACTTAACCTCTACTATATCTAATAAGTTTCTATAAGGTATTTCCTTATTAGAAATAGCTTAATATTAGTAATTAATATTACTAATATTATCTACTTATATATATAAATACTCTATACTCTTATAGAAGTTTCTAGAACCCTCTAGAAACTTCTAAAGGTCTTTAGAAATATAAACTTCTATAGAGTTCTATTAGATTCTACTATAGAGTCTATAAGTTCTATAGAGTTCTACTCTACTCTATTCTATTCTAAGGAAACTACTAGAGCTATAGAATGTATATGTATGTCTAGAGGTCTAGAAGATTCCTATTATTAATTGAGAGAAGGATCTAGAATATATAAGGAGGAATATATAAGGAACGGTCTCTCTATATATTTAGTTCTCTCTCTATCTAGTCTTTACTTTAAGAATTATACTATATTCTTATTATCTTTAAGCTATACTCTACTAATCCGTTTATTATATAATAGTAGTCTATTACGGCTAGATCCTATTATATAACTCTATTTAGATATATATTCCTTATATAAGGAATATTATATATCTATTTATACCTGCCCTTTTCATAGCTTTAAGATTCGATTCTTTTAGTATAGATAGTTAGTACGTAGAGTCTACTATCTTATAGATAGAATATCTAAATAATAATATTAGTATATAGAATATAAAATACTATATTTAGTAGTCTTCTTCCATGAGACAGAGAAAAGACTGGGCTCGCAAAGTGAGCAGGACCACCAGTAACATGGTTGCTCGCTCTCGCCGTTGTGCATAGTGATACCTTTTCGCGCTGATAAGGTGATATAGTAACAAGAAAGCCGTAGTGGTATAAGCCCAGTCAGCTATGAGTTTGTTGTGATCGCCTTGATGCCGAGCATAGAGGCACTCGGAATCACTTGTTGAAATCCACAATACAGAAGAGCGGTACTGCTAGAGGTCAGAGACATATCCAATTTATCATCTACATAAACTAAGACGAATCATATTGGTGGTGGACCGTCCGATAAGTAATCTGAATGCATGGCGCACGACCCCCGACACAAATCTATCAAGTATACGTGTCCGATAAAGTACCTATAGTTCCAGGACGCCATAACGGGTACTTAGGTCACTGACAAAACTTTAAACGACCTATATGAGGACATTAGCTTCATTCATACCGTTGTGTCTGCTGGCAGGGAGAGAATTGTGAGGCAAACTAAACATGAGCTACACTCGAGGACTACCAGAAGTCAGAGAGTCTTTGACCAGGAAATCAGTTCCGAATAAAGTGGCTGCGATTGACGATATGTGTGAAGGGGTGTATTACCCCTCAGTTATCCTGCATACGACTAATACGAGGCATATCAACCGAATGAGTAGTGTTGGTACCAAGGATATCAAGGCGTGGTATTGTCCCACAGACTCCCCACTTTGACGCCCTCAATCCAATTACCACTAGTCGTGTCTTTCTTAACCCGATACCCAACCTCCCTCGTCTCGCCTTTCCTCAACACAAATGCGTTGTCGTCAAATGTGGCCACGACACCTTCCGGATAGTCAAGCCATGTCCAGACTGCCACACCAGTCGTGGCCTCGACGGTAAACTTCTTCGTCTCATCGTTGTGCGTGACCTTCAGTCCTGGATCGACTAATCTTGCATCCTTGAGTGGAGTTGGATGGTACCAATTACGATGGTTGAAAGTCTGCGCAGTCTCGTCATTCGGAAGCTTTCCTTCTGTAGTAACATCCATGATAAGAACAAGATTGTTTCTATCGTGTCCAGAGAGACTGCTGTCTAGACTGGTCTGATACACACGCGACGTATTCAGCGGGTCAACGGTGACATCGATTGATGTTGCAGTTGGGATGTTCTGCGGAATCCCGGACCAATCGTACCAGGTCATGTTAACCCTTCCGGTCGTTGAAGACCACAAATCGGAGGTCACGTAGACTTCGAGTTGATCGTCCGTCGAATCATTTTGATGCGGAGCGATGATGACGTTCTTATATATATCTTTGGCAGTGTACTGGTAAAGTTAGCTGCTAAACATAGTCAATTTTGAGTAAACATGCATGCAGAACTTTCCATCTCCCATCATATTCTATTCCAGCCCATGTAGGCGCTTGCCACTGGTCTTCAAGTTGCCAATAAAGACAACCGAGCTGCCTTTCCGGCATACCACTGCCTCTTCTATAGTGCTGGATCTGACTCTTGTAGAAGTCTGCTTGGAAGATTTGTGTCGCATAGATCCAAGATGTAAAGTTTGCTATTGGGTCACTTTTTTCGGGATGGGGTACCAGTTCTCAACAGCCATGGTCATTTGACCCTGTCCTATTGCGGCCTTGTCAAAGTTTGATGTATTCAGGCTGCCAGACGGAGGATGATGGTCGCGTAGCATTATTACAGAAGAGTTGAAATGCAAATCATTCGGGTGCACCGCTTGTCTCCAGGATTGTATCGACGGCATGGAATGGAAGCCAAACTCATTGGAAAACCGGCCGACGGGGTATCCTGACACATTAAAGGACTGAGTGCTATCATAGTTGTAGTAATCTGTCTCGCCGTATATGGATCCCTCGGTGAGATTCATGTAGCGTGGTACAATGGGCACAGCTCGGCTATGGTCAAGTTTCAGGTACCCGTTACTGGTGCTCGAAGGTTGGTAGGATATGCTCTTGGAATTTTCAAACACTGCGGGCGTAAGAACATTTAGAAACAGTGCCTCATATTCTCCAATATAGAAATCTAGTTTGTTAGGAGCGGATTTGGCAACATAGTTGAACAGGATGAGATTCTCCATTTCGTTACCTCCGGCCCAGAAGGCTAATGACGCTATAATTGGTCAATACGGAGTTTAGCAAAGTGCTATACAAACACTTACGATGGTGGTTGACACGGCGAACTTGATATACAGCTTCTTCTCGAACGTTGTTAAGGAAGTCTGGGTCGACTGGATACATGGCATCTCCAAATTCAAATTCACTGTCTTCATCAGACCTGACACAACTATATGCTCGATTCACCACTTACCTCCAAAGAAGGATACCATATTCGTCCGCCAGATCGTACATGAAATCAGGAGAATACGCACCTGTTGACCACACTCTGAGCATGTTCTGTCGTCCATCAACAACAGAGTCGAATAGCTGACTGATCCGGTCTTTGTCGACACGAGTCCAGAAAGTGTCTGGCGGAATGAAGTTCGAGCCTTTCGCGTAGAACTCATGCCCGTTGACCTCGAAGTGCCAATTGTCTCCAGGCGCAATTCCCCGAGCTAATTGATCCGTGCGAATAGGACCGGAGTTTACTATAATGGTGCGGAAACCCACTCGTTTCTCGATAGAGGCAAAAGAGACGCTCTCCTTCAGGACATCAACAATGATGTGGTAGAGGCTCTGCTTCCCAAGTCCGACAGGCCACCATAGCTCAACCATATCACTTGGAATGATTGTGCTGCCTGTGATTGATACATTGGTAGTATTGACGTTCTCTAGTTCGCCCTGGGCGAGTTCATTTCTTTCGGCATCCAAGAGTGTGTACACAAAGCTTACGCCCTCCGGTAATGTACCAAAGAAGTCCATGCTTGCATTGAGCACCCATGGCTGCGTTTGGTCAGGTGGGAGGTTGTTCAACTGGCCTTTACGGTAAATGTCGACCACAGAATTCCGTACATGAACGTCTTGCTGTTCAAGCTGCACCACATAGACCTGGATCAGTCCGTTAGTTCTGCGGTGCCGGATCTATGATCACACCGAAGCTTATCTAGCCAAAGCTTTGTTTTGCAACACTTGGGAGGTAAATTCATCTGTCTCCCGCTATGATTATACTGGGGATTGAAAGGAGACGAGAACTCACTGGCTTCCAGGGACCAGCAGGAGCAAAAGCTGGACCCCAATCCTTGAACAGCGGGTCAGATATAGTTAACCATATGTGTCGAACAGTCTCACCCAGCCAAAATCAGAACCTTCTTTACGCACCCACTGACGGTTGTCGAACTCGAAAGGTATCTGGATACCATCAGGCCATGTTCTTTGGTCAGGTTTTGTGGCAATTGCGTTGATGATATTCGGAGCAGAACCAAACTCGATGCTGAGTACCGGATGTTGATCCGTACAGGCCTGAAGTATATCTGAGACATCAAACCAATACTGGCGAAACTGGTTGTTAGTTGCTGCAACGTGTTCGTTGCAGAATGATATGCTTGTGAACGTATCAAGTCCGTCGAAGCGAAGCCATGTCGAGCTGGCATTGCCTTGTCTGGTCTTTGTCAGGATCAACGAGCGAGAAGTGATTCACGAAGTCGCTTACAAGCCTTGTATTGGATCAGAGGTATAGGTCCAATTACTCCATGCTATCCAACGTAGGTTAAAGTCGTTTAGACCGTAGTATGGGTCGCCAATCACTTGTGCAGCATATAGATCCAAGTGCGCCTGTCCAGGTAATTTGGCAGGTACTGAGATGCTCGAATTCGTGCTTGATAGTGTCCAGCCATCACCAGACAGGTCGATAACATGATTCGCAAAGCCTGGCACGGCCTGCGAAGCTATCAACGCTGTGCTGAGCACTGCTCGAGCTGTGTTCCTCCTGTTTGCATGCATATTCATTTCACAATCGGGACCTTGTGCCTTGTTTCCTTGTAGGCGATAGCTACGTTCGCAAATTGTAGGAGCAGAGCTATATCAGTACGGCACAGAGGGTGAAGGCGATATATTAGTCGACCCCTCAATCATCGTTGAACCAGGAAGATTCCCTGTCTAGCCTGGCTCATGATGCACATCGAAGATCGGCAGTGAGCGGAGAAGTGGATGTTGCACTGCTATGCTACATCGGGAACGGAGTGCAACAGCTTGGTGCAAAGGTTCTATTGCGCTGTAATGATAATAATGACGCAGACCATCCGTCTACACCAATATCTCTCTCGACAAACATCCAATAGGAAGGGAGCGAAGTCAAACAAACATCAAAATCGTCTTTCGCAGTCGCTACTCGTCGTATGATATCATGCCAACATTAGATTGAATGTCCCCTCCCGGTCTATCATAGCTCATGGAAATTAACCCTCAAACGCATTATCAAGCCGACCTTCAAAGCCATAGAGTTGTACATAGGTAGTCACGTGACTATACCCAACTCACATATAGATTCGTTTATATTCCTGTTGGATGCCTGTGACGTGTGTGATCACATGCAGCCACATAATACCAACAAATGCGTTACATTCCGAAGGCCCTGACGTTGATTCGCCTACAAGTACATAGCCTATCTTATCAAGCTCTAAACCGGACATTCACTGTGCGGTCAATTCGGTGATTCGAGCCTCAATGTCAGGAATCGCGCGAAGCTGGAGATCGAGCTCTTCTTTTTCGCTACGCTCAAGTTAGCATTTTATGGATCGCGCGTGTAGGGCGGCATGTACGTACTCTTCTAGTCGCAATCTCCTTTCTGCATCTAGTTTCGTAAAGATATACTTTCCCTGCCCATCAAACTGCAGTATTTTCTCATGGTACTTCCACAAACTCCTGCGATGGCTTACAGTCATGAGCGTAATTCCTAGTCTTTTCGCCTCGTCGTACATCACACGCTCAATCTCCAGCGTCACGCTGCTTGTACATTCATCTAATATTGCGTAACGGGGCGCATGATAGAAGAGTCGTGCCATAGCGACACGTTGCTGCAAGCCTCCGGACAGTACATCAGCCCACTCCTGCTCAGCATCCCAGCCTCCAGGTCGGTCGACAATGTGTTGGATCTCGACCACAGTGAGGACGCGGAAGAGGTCATCGTCAGTGATGCCTTTGTCGCGCATCTCGCGTAAGCCATCTGGGTAAGTGATTTGCTGGCGGAGAGAGCCACGAGAAAGGTATGGGCGCTGAGGGATGTAAAAAATATCTTCGAATGGGGGTTTGCGAACCTTGCCGCCGTACACAGGCCATAGGCCGCCAAGGATACGGAAAAGAGACGACTTGCCGCACCCGTTTGGCCCAACAATGAGAAGATGCTCACCAGGCTTGACCGTGAAGCTAAGTGCTCGGACGAGGATGTCGCCGTTGGGCGAGACAATAGGTACATCAATGAACTCGATGTCTGACCCTTCTGTTACTACTCCACGGCCGCCGAGAACTGTTGCACTCTCCAGAGAGCTAGCTGACGATACAAGCTTTTTCTCAAAATGTCCAGCTTGAATGTCATCAATAACATCGAGGAGTGTGGCCACGCGAGATGTGTAACCAGCAAGCTCGGTGATCTCTTTATATGAGAACATAACGCGACCGAATGCATCGGAAGACATGAGCAGCATGCGTCTGTTTGTTACAAAGCCTAGACTCTATCAGCTGCCGTTGTCTGTGTCAAACGTTTGGTACACACTTTCTGTCCTATCACCTATGCTCTCGCCTTGAACACCTGGAATCTTGAAGAAGACGGGAACACTGCAAAGCAAGAGCCCAAGTGCACCCCAGAAGTACTTTATGACGAAATCCTCCATAAAGCCGTGGTAGAATCGCCGCCGCAGGATCCTATTAACGTGCTTGATAAGAGTGAAATAGCCCTTGTCCAACGTGTCTTTCTCAGCCTCATGTCCTGCATACAAAGCAACCTCCTCGCTATAGTCTATCAGCCTTGAATGCTGGAAGCGAAACTCTCCCTCTAGTATTGCTTCATCGGCAACATATTTTCCGAAAGGCGGTGTCAGAGCGCGCATGACGCCTGCTGATAATTGCACGAGCATGCCCATAAAGAACAATCCTTCTCCTCCCACGCTTCTTGAAAGCGAGTAGTTATAGACCACCATGTCTAGTACCGGCTTTGCAAGATTGGAGTATAGCTCTGCCAAGCTGTTTGAAAATTTGGCAACATCGACTGTTATAAGTTGATCGGCATTCTTTATTCGATCGTCAAGGGCCGAAAGAGTGTAAAAGGTCATGTTCGAGAGGTATTTGGAGTGGATGTGATGTGTGAGGCGGGTGCGGTACTGTAAGGAGAGCTTGCATTGATGGTAGGAGAGCTGTGGTAGTGTCAGTAGAATTTGGCGTCTTCCACGTGGCTGTGGTAGTTCACCATAGAGTTTGTGAAAGTCGCTGGAACTGCGACAGCCATCCACCATACGAGTCCGGTCAAGAAATCTTTGCCCTTTCCTCGCACCAGACTGCTGACCAACCGTCCATCGAGTTCAGCCACGTATAGACTGATTAACGTACGCAGTACCAAAAACACACTATGACTTATGAGCAGTCTTAGCTCTTTGCTTCTCCATCCAGGAATTACTATTCGCAGCAGTCTTAGGAGGTTCTTGAAGAACTCCCTGTTTAGCTCAACCTTCTTCCTTGTCGAGACTTCTCTGTCTGCTGCTGTGGTGCCAGCTCTTTTACTAGCCTCCGCACGTGCAGAGGCAGCTTTTTGCTCTGCTATTGCATTTCGGATGCGGTTTACCAATGTGATAAAAAGTGTGAGATAGACAGCGCGGGTTATTTTCGTCCGATGCTCGAGATATCGTCCTGTGAGCTCGCTGATAATGCGCTTGACCATGCTCTCAGTAGCTATGGATGGGCTGTGTAGTTTCGACTGAGCCGCCATGATGCGGAAGAGACTTGAAGGCACTGCAGTCGAAGTTCTCAGTTTTCAAGCAGTGGACGCATACTGGTATACGCCAGAAAGATTTCCAAATTCTGGCATGTGGATTACCGCCATATCGTTATTGCACCTGTCTGTCATGTCGCGCGCATGTGACAGCCTCGGCCGTGGAGCCGGAAGTGCTAACTTCATATGTACTAGCTTGTAGAGACACAATACCAGACACAGAATGTACATGAACGTTAACATGGATATTTCACAATCGAAGCAGGATTCGCGTGTAAAAGCCGACCTCTTAGACTACGACACTAGTATCTTTTAACGCCTGTACTAAGCCATCTCTATACTTGTAAGTAGAGGCGGCACGGTATATATAAACGATAACGCCGGCGCATATCTTAATAGAATGTATAGAGCTATAGAGAAAGTATAAGTAAGGATATAGAGATTAAATTAACTAAGATATACTTAACGCTATAATGACTCATAGACCTTTAATATAGTAAGTATTAACACAGCTTTAATAAGTAGACTATCTTCTAAGAACTTCTCTATTTTTTTAGTAATTAAAGCTCTCTTTCTCTTTTAAAAAATAACTTTATAGAGATATAATAATCTTATAGAAGAACTAGAATATATCTTATTATCTATTATATCTACTTCTAATATTATTATATATATAGTTAAAAGTATAGAAATAGAAAGAACTCTAGATAGATATAGATAGAAGTACTAGATATATAAGTATAGATACTAAGAGTATTAGATTTTAGAAAGATCTATTATTTTTCTAGAATCTAATAAGCTTAGAATTTTCTATCTTATATAGATATTATTATAGACTTTAGCTTTATCTTATCTTTAACATTATATAATAGAGCTAAGATAGATAGAACTAGAATAGAGGTATTATATAATCTTACTTAAACTATATACTTAAGCCGTAACTTATATAGATCTATCTCTACTTCTTAAAAGTTAAATTATAATATATCTTAATCTACTATTATAGTAATACCTTAGTTATATCTATTATAGATATCTATATCTCTATTCTATAATAGTTATCTTATCTCTTTAATTTATCTCTATATTAGTAGAGGTTTATATATTATAGTATCTATATAAACTTATTATTAGATATATAAGTAGTATATAATCTACTAGTTAATTCTATATATATATAGTAGTTATATATAAGTAGTATACTCTACTCTTAAAGTAGTAGCTTTAAGATTTAGTTCTTTTAGTATAGATAGTTAGTATATAGAGTCTACTATCTTATACTTATAGTAAATAATAAGATAATATAGTCTAAATTTTAGAACTCTAAACTCTTTAATTTAGTCTATAATAAAAGGGTTTAATCTCTTAGAGAAGAGAAAGAAGATAGTTTTTATATAGACTCTCTTCTAAGAACTTCTAAGAATATTTAAAGATTTAAGTTCTTTAACTTTATCTCTTTAAAGCGGCCTTATAAAGATATACTAAGCTTATAGATAGATAGATATATATCTAATTATCTATTATATCTACTTTTAATCCCCTTATATACTTATAGATAAGTAGAAAAGTAGAAAAGACTTAAGATAGAAAGATTAGGGTAAGAATACGCGTGTACTAGTTCTAGATCTATAGGGATTGTACGCTATATCCGTTTATCTATAGTTATATAAGAAAGCTTAGTAGTTAGTACACGCTTATATCACGCGCATACGTTTTATAGTATATATAATATTTTATAATATTTTTAATAATTATATCTATACTATACTTATATAGCCTCTATAACTATATTATATTATATATAGAAGTTAGTATAGTTAATATATAGTATTTTAGACTTACTTATATATATATATAGTACTCTATAGTACTATTTATTCTACCTCTATATATAGTTAAATTAACTTTCTCTTATAATATAATATATCTATTAATAAGATTATTACTATTACTAAAGTTAGTAAGACTACTATCTATAGAATAAGATATAATCTTAAGATATATAGATAGAGGAATAAACTATAACTAGCGCGCCGTGGCCTACCGTAATAACTAAGTAATTATATAATATAATAAATACTTAAGAGACTACTTTATAAGAGCTAGCTATTCCTTAATAAGATAGCTAGATAGATATATAAAGAGTTTAACCTTACTATATCTAAATAGCTTCTATTAAAGGAGTTATCTAAGTAAGATTAGAATTATAAGCTATTAAAATATATTAGTAGTACGCGCTTAGAGATAGTATATACTTTATATCTTATATTTTACTCGAGTTAGTTGAAAACTAACAAACTCTATACGGGTTAGAAAGAGATACATACCTTAATCGATAGAGTATACCGAGTACACTAACTACTACCACACGCACGTACGTGCAGCGTCGAAACTAAGACGTTATCGCCGTGTAAAGATATATATATACCCTCTTAAAATCCTTATAGAGATAGAGGCACGGACTACACTACTAGAATACCGATATACTAACCCCCTTTTATTAGTTAAGGGTAGCCCTTAACTAATAAATATGGCGGCCTTAGGCACCGATATACCCTAGTATATACCGGATATACCCCTACTAGTATAATAGAAAAGGCTATATAGTAATATTACCGAGGGTAGCTATACACCTATCTAAAACATAGAATACACCTAAAGGCGCACGCCGCTATAGATAGACGGAATAAAGGGGACCCTAAGAGGGGAAACCCTCCTAGATTATATTAACTACTAGATAGTATATATAGAGAAGGAAGCCGGAGAGGGCTAGAAGACCCTCCTATATATATTCTAGAACCTTATCTAGAACCTAAAGGGAATTATAGAGGAGGAGAAGAAGATATAACTAGGAGGACCGGAGGGTAGGCTCGACTAAATAGAGGCTAGCCTACGTAGAATCTAGGAGGAACTTACTTAAGGTAAGCGCCCTAGTATATAGGTATAAATAGTAGTAATACTAGAAGCTATACTACGGGCCTCCCGGACCGGCGACGTAGCGTATAGTATACACGTCGTAATCTAGGATAAGGATACCCTAGTATAGGTCTAGCGAGCATCCCTAAAGGACATAGTAAGTAAGATTAATAAATAAAAGGGAATATAGTTAAATATTATTACCGCTAAACTCACGCTAGGAGGAGTAGTACTTACCACGATAATAAATATCGCGTAGTAGACTATCTCGCGCGATCTAAACGCGATTAGTAGTATCTTCCTAGGCGCCTCTATTAGGGCGGCCATATACCCGATATAGATATACTTAGTATCTATACGGGGATAGGCTATCGGAGTAGAGGATATTACGCGTATAGAATAATCTAACACGCGAAAATACCTAGGGATTAAGATTATAAAAGCGTGGTAGAAGAACCTATAGGCGATTAAGACGACGGCGAAAAAACACTCTACTATAATTATAGAGCTCCAAGACCCCGCCCTTATATAATATATTATATAGAAGAGATTCCTAGTAGAAGGAGAGCTCCTTATAGCCGAGCCATAGAATAGAGTATAGATAATAATATAGTGCTTTAACTACTAAGGGTATAGATATACTATATAAAGGTACTTATAGAAGACTAAGTGCGGATAGTACCGTAGGGACCACGCTATCTAGAAGTACCCTTATAAACCGCGAGGAGATAGGCTAAGAAATAGAGACATAGTATAGTGTTTAAACTACGACGGGAAACACCCGTTATAGTCGTTAATATATATAAAACGTAAATAGGTTATAGAATACATTCGTACGATAAAAGCGAGAGACACGAGATAGTTATAGAATATAATACCTACCTCGGGCCCTTTCTTTATAACACCCCTAACCTCCCCTCCGGAAGGTAGTTAGGTAGAATAGTAGATTATCCCGAAGATAATAGGACGACTAAAAGGTATAGTTAAAGCCGCTACCGCGTGAGGATAGTCGCGCCTCTAAGGAATAAGTATATAGATATATATACTCCCTAGTATCTAATGAGGGACTAGAATATACTCCGAATTATATAGATAAATATATAATATAAAAGAGAGAACTAGGTAACGCTCCTTAAAGAGACCGGGGCTATAATACTTACTATCTAGGAACCCTATAAATACTACTAGACGAGTAAACCAACCATACACCCCGGATACTATACTATACACCCTCTAGGACTAGAAAGATGAGTCCTCTTCTATATTCATAGGTTAATACTACTCTTATTATAGTTATATACCGAGCGCGATAACCTTAGGATAATACTACACCTATAAATAGATATAGGCCCCCTATATATATATAATATATATAACTAATAACGTATACTTATACTAGACGAGATGCTCGAGGGTACCACGGAACTAGAGTAACACATCCTCCTAGAAGACTTTAACCTCTACTACTAATAGTAGGGAGGCCTAGCCATAGTTAGGGAAGAACTTAGAGCGAGGGAACTACGTACCCGCTACCACGACTTTCTATATCTACTTACACCTATAGGATAAGTTATATAGAAAAAACATAAATAGAATAAAGACGGGTCTACGCTTAACCTTACCTTCGCTACGGAGTATATTAGTTACCGGATCTAATACTACCGCCTAGGCTAGGTATAGATAGATTCCGACTATAAATATATAGAAACTATAATAAACGTGTATACCCCGAATAAATAACGGGGATAATAGATATAGAAGGATACTAACTAGGAAAAGTACCTAAAGGACCTGGAATCGGCGATCCTAGATCTCTCTATAGTCGATATATCTAATAACCTAGCTATAGACTAGGCCGTATAGATACTCCTATAAATATACTAGAATACGAGAAATAAATACGTACTATACCGAATATACCGGCCCCTAGAAGTAAAGGGGATTCCTTAAGTATAGGAAAGTAGATAAGACGCCCGAAGGCTATATAGACGTGTATACCGTACGAGAATACCCGAGTCGTAAGAAGAATAGAAGGAAGTAATATAATAACGCGATAAAGTTCTCCGTAACGAAAGGCGTAA